AGGCCAGTACCATCTTTAAGCTAGTAAAAAAGGAAAATCCAAATACTTTTGGTAGGAAAATGGGGTTTTATTGACAAAGGGTCTCAGTTGTTCATGCCAAAAATAAAAGGTCTGAGACAAATGTTAATGAAGGAATGCCATGACACACCATAGGTGGGTCATCCTTGGTTGGCAACGTACTTTGGCTTTACTGAAACAAGGCTATTATTGGCCTCATATACGGTAAGATGTGATGGACTATACTAAGACTTATTTCTTTGCCAATAGGATAAAGTTGAAAAGAATAAACTAGCAGGCTTGTTTAAACTACTACTTGTACCCACTAGACCTTGAAAAGTATCTCCATTGACTTCATATCAGGTCTTCCCAAAGTTGACGATTTGGGTCTATTCTAGTGGTGATCGACTGTTTCTCGAAATATGCCATGTTCATTCCCACCCAAAAGTATTGCACTATAGAAGACACTACCTGACTAATGTTTAAACATGTAATTAAGTATTGGGGCCTTTCTCAAAACATTGTTAGTGATAGGGATTGAAGATTCACTAGGTCATTCTGGAGAAAACTTTTCAAAATTTAGGATCCCAATTCAACATCTCTTCAAGTTATCACCCGTAAATCGATGGTCAAATTAAACGATTTAATAAGTTGTTAGAGGAGTACTTGAGACACTTCGTTCAAGCTAATCAGAAGAATTGGCTTTCATTCTTAGATGTAACTCAGCTTTGTTTTAATTTCAACAAGTGTTTTTTCACAAACAAGAGTCCATTTAAAGTGGTCATAGGACAACTACCAAGACTACCACATATATCCTTTGAGTCGTATAGAGGAAAAAATCCATGAGCATTCAACCTTAGCAAAGAATTGAAGACAAAATACAAAAATTGCATAAACAACTTGGAGAAAGCATCGAAGTGCATGAAAAAATAGGTAGATAAGGGTCGAAGGTATAGTAATTCAAAGTTAATGATCTTGTTCTTATCAAACTAGTGCCCGAGCAAATTAGGTTCCTAAAGAAGCGAGATCGTAGGTTGGTCTAAAAATATAAGGGTTTGGTGAAGATCCTTTCCAAGGTGGGGAATGCCTCTTACAAAATTGACCCGTAAAAATGGATGAACGTGGATCCAGTGTTCCATGTAAGTAACTTAAAGCCATGCCATGTAGATCCCATAAATGCAAGTTACAAGAGTCAACAAGGGCTGCCATCACCATGAAGCCACATCAGAACGTCAAGTTGAAGAGATTTTAACTGACAGGGTATCCTGGGTATCTCGAAGAATAATTCATGAATATTTAGTGAAGTGGGAAGGCTTAGGATCAGAAGAAACTAGCTGGAAAAGAGATTATGACCTCCGAGCATTCAAGCGAAAGATTGAAGAATTCTAGGCCAACAAGTCGACAGAGACGTCCATAGAATAGGTAAAGAAGGATGTTATGAGTCAACCTTGTATAGGGTCATGACTGGGCATAGGTCATCATGAGCCACTCATGTATATGGCCATGATCGAGTAGAAGTGCCAAAGGGGAGGGTAGATCTTGTGCTAAGAAAAGTGTCCTCATTTCAAGCATTGTAATGGTTATAGGTAGGATAACTATAAAATTTCATTTGCTTTTTAGAGGGAGTAAGCAGTCGGTGTATTGTTGGGTTGCTTTACTGGTTAAGGTATGTGTTAGATCGTTCATCTAGGGCTACCTCTCTGGTTTGACGATAGTGGAAAGACTCGATTTACTATTCTTGATATTAATAAAATATATTATATATATATATATATATGAAAATGCTGAAGTCACCTTAGTATGTTCCCATTTTACCTCGATATGTCGTTCTGTATGCTTGAGATTGACTTATAATTTTTTGATTACTTGTTCAGATATCGAATTATCTTAAGTTGATTTGGATGAAAACGTCCATTCAAATATTGTATGATCTATTACTTCATTGAGAGAAAGCATAACTCGTGACACTTTATCTATATTTGGGCTGTTTTAGACTCTTTTGCGTCTATCTATTGGCAACACGTTTTTACGGCATTCTAGAATTTTTCAACGAACAATCCTTATACCTGACACTAAACTGCTCACTTTGAGGCATACTCCACACTCCGCCGTGGCTCCCATCCTTGGGTCTCATACGTGCTTTAAGAAACTCGATCTCGATCTGGATCCTTCCTCATTTTTTGCCTTCCCCATCTCGAGCAAATCCCGTCACACAACGGTTAGGACGGTCCGTGACACGAGCACATTCTCGCTGTATTAACGAAGAGTATACCGACTGTTTGCTAAAAATTCAACTAGTCCTCTCTCTCCCTTTCTTTTTCTAATTATCTTCTCGACTTGCTCAACCACACTGCAACTTTTTCATAATCTCTCTAAATGGCAGAGAGACTAGCTCTCCCTATTCTCCTTCCAAGTCTTCAACCTCCAAAGCCCCCATTTTTTTAACGAAACCCACCGCCAACGACAAAACCCAACTTTACTATCCAATTCACCACCTCCCTCAACTCCAATCCTTCAAGACCTTCGACATAGCGCCAAGTTCCAAGAATCTGTCGACCCACAAGTCCGGACCCAGACCCGGATCGGCCGCTCACGTGATCTCAACCCTGGAAAGCCTTGGACTTATAACTGCCTTTCTGCTCTAGGTCAGCAGGTTCTCAACTCCTTAATTGACCCTTCTTTTGATTCCAATCAACTTGACAGTGTTTAGGCTAAGTTATTTGAGCAATACCAAGAAAACCCGGATGCAAAAACAAAATTTTTAACCGCTGAATTGCTAGGAATTAAAGAAGGTTTAGGTTTTTACAAGAAATCTGAATTGGCATTGGGTGTTTTTAATTGGGCTAAGGGGAGAATAGAATGCGAATTGGTTTTGAATAGTTCTGTTGTTGCTGTTATTATCAGTATGTGAGGGAAAGAAGGGAGAGTTTCTGTTGCAGCAGATTTGTTAAATAGCTTGCATAAAGAAGGGCTTAGTCTTGATGTATATGCTTATACTTCTTTGATAACTGCGTATGCCTGTAGTGGGAGGTATAGGGAAGCCATGGTGGTCTTTCAAAAAAGGGAGGAAGACGGTTGCAAACCTACTTTGATAACTTATAGTGTGATTTTGAATGTATATGGTGAAAATGGGTTTGCCTTGGAGAAAAGTCATGGCTCTTGTTGATGGGATGAAGAGTGATGGAGTTGCCCTGGACGTTTATAATACACGTATAAGTTGTTGTCGCAGAGGGTCTTTGCATGAGGAAGCAGCTTTCGTTTTTGAGAAAACGAAATTGGCTGATAATGTTACTTATAATGCACTTTTGGATGTTTATGGGAAGTCTTGATGACCAAAGGAAGCCGTGGAGGTTTTAAAAGAAATGAGCTTAATGGGTTTGCTCCCTAGCATTGTGACTTATAATTCATTGATTTCTGCTTATGCTAGGGGTGGTCTATTGGAGGAAGCAATGGACTTGAAAACACAGATGGAGGGAAAAGGGATTAAGCTTGATGTTTTTACCTATACCACTCTTTTGTCAGGATTTGAGAAGGTCATGAAAGATGAGTCTGCAATGGAGGTTTTTGAGGAGATGAGAAGTGCTGGTTGCAGGCCAAATATTTGTACTTTCAATGCTCTAATTAAGATGCTTAGTAACCGCAGAAAGTTCACTGAGATGATGAAGGTTTTTGATGAGATCAAGGCATGCAATGGGTTGCCAGATATTATTACATGGAATACACGGTTGGCATGTTTGGGCAAAATAAGAAGGATTCAGAAGTGTCTGGAGTATTCAAGGAAATGAATAGGGCAGGGTTTGTAACTGAAAGAGACACTTTCAACACCAAATTAGTGCTTCCAGTCACTGTGGTTCTTTTGATCAAGCCATGGCTGTTTATAAGAGAATGCTGGAAGCTGGAGTTACCCCAGACTTTTCTAGGTATAATGCCATTATGGCAGTGTTGGCATGGGAAGGACTCTGGAAACAGTCTGAGAAAATACTTGCTGAAATGAAAAACGGTCAGTGTAAACCCAATGAGCTAACTTACTGTTCATTGCATGATGTTTATGCCAATGGGAGGCAGCTAGATCGGATGCATGCCCTTGCACAAGAGATATACTCTGGTATCATTGAACCTCATCCTGTGCTCTTAAGGACCCTTGTTTTGGTTAATAGTAAATGTGACGTTCTTCTGGAAACAGAGCATGCTTTCTCGGAATTGATGAAGAAAGGATTTTCACCTGACATTACTCTAAATGCAATGGTCGCAACATATGGCAAGAGGCAGATGATTTCCAAGACAAATGAGATCTTGAACTTCATGAATGAGAGTGGATATACACCTAGCTTGACAACTTACAATAGTTTGATGTATATGTACAGCCGCTCAGAAAATTTTGAGGAATCAGAAAATATTTAATGGTAAGTTTTGCAAAAGGAGTAAAACCTGATATAATGTCATATAAAACTGTTATTTATGCCTATTGTAGAAATGGTCAAATGAAAGATGCTTCGTGGATCTTCTCAGAAATGGGTGATTCTGGCCTTTTTCCAGATGTTATCAATTACAATAACTTTGTCGCAAGTTATGCAGCTGATTCCATGTTTGAGGAGGCTATTGATGTGGTTTGTTACATGATTAAGCTTAGCTGTAAACCAAACCATAACACATACAATTCCATAGTAGATAGATATTGTAAACTCAATCATTGGGATGAGGCAAGCATGTTTATTAAAAACCTTCAGAAGCTAAATCCGCATATTTCCAAGGACGAGGAAATCAGATTATCAGGTTGTATTGTGGAAAAATGATCATAGAAGATGGTCCTCCATAGAAAAACCTTTCGGTACTGTGTTCTTGTTTTTTGTCATTTGAGCATGGAGAGCATAAGCGTAATCTTGTTCTACATGATTCTGTGTTTTTCCTTGAGGACCGTATATGATCTTTAGCTTTTGAATGCCTAGAGCTGTTTTTAGCCAAGGCTTGTAGCTGGTGGGGAATTTTGTACCGTATAGCTGATGAGACAAGAAAGAGGAATGTGGGAAGAGGGGAATTGAAAAACTTCAAGGTATGTACAATCACAATCCCTTTTATACCAATCAAATAGAAATCTTTTTGTGCTAACGTATCGTCTCTGTAAAATTGTTATACAAAGTACTAATATATCTTTGCTTATTGGATTTTCTGTTTTGATGTTTTCTCAAACTTAATTTGATATTAAAACTTTTGGATATTAATGATGGTAAGTTTATATCTATGATTTGATTAAAGAAGACCAGTATTGTCAGTGACAGTTAATTCAAGCCATTGTTTACTTTTATCTTTGTTAACTCAAGCAAATACAAGAATAAACATGTAAGATAATAGTATGTGCAGAACTTCACTTGAAAAATGTATAGCAGCCTGCTTCCATCTGCATCCACCTATATCCTTCAGTGACTTAATTTACCTCCCAAACTCTATATTTTCTCCAATGAACACTGTGTTGGGAACCAATCTCACTTATCATTTGGTTTCCAAACATAAACTTTGTTGAAAAGTCAGTGTACTACTCTATAATTCATTCTACTGTATTCAGGTCATTGTTTGAAGCAGATCCTCATCTCCTTCATCTGCATTGAAGGAATAGATGTCAACAGGTGCCGTTGTGCAACCCATGGCATTTGGCTTGATTCTATTATTGCAAGAGCCTCGGTGTTGATCAAGATAAATTACAATCACAGTGATATCATCATGAAAATGGCGCCTTATTCCCTTTTCAATTTTCATAATATCAGCATATCTCATCTCTTTTTTCTTTGCAACTTCTTGAAGTGCAGCTCTTACCAATCTCTTCGCGATACCCTGCAAGTATTCAAGCAAATGAAAATCAATACCAAAAATGCTACAGAGAAGCTTAGTTGTTTTGAAGATAAAAGTGAGAATGCATTTCTACAGATAAAACTGGTAAGATAAACATGAATACTCACGGCTCTGGGGTTTTTGAAAACAATGTTTACAGCAGCTTCATCACTCAACTGCTCCCATAGGCCATCTGATGCAAAGATCAGGAATAGGTCCTGTGGCTTAAGCTTTCTAATAAGGATGGAGGGTTCTGCTGTAATAACAGGCCTTTTAAGGGGAACAGGGAATCCAAACTGGTGATAGATTGGATCTCTATAAAACTCAGGTTTCTTCAGGTAAACATCACCAATGGATCTTGACACCTGAAATAGGAAAAAAAAAGAGCTTACACCAGCATGATCAATCGCATGCTCTAAAATCATGAATTAATCAACAATCTCGAGTCTTCAAGAAATTTACCTGGATTATGCCCTTAATCCTCCAAACTCCCTGGGTGTACAACACTATATGAGAATCATCTGGATGAAGGGCCTCAACCTCCTTTCTGACTTCCTCATCTCCAACATTATGATCTGTTGACAGCCTTTCTGCCACCACCATGTTTTTCTTATTCTCTGAAACTCTCTTGCCAAGAACTGCTCTTGAGTCACCAAGATTAGCCACATATAACACATCATTAGAAATCGCACCAACTAGACAGCATGATCCAACTGAAGCAATTTGAGGCCTCAGAGGCAATGATTGCTTCACCAAATGCAAAAACTCCTCTTCAGTAGCATTGAATGCCTTCTTTATTACATCTGCTGATAATCCCCCTTGTTCTAAAACAAATTCTACAATTAAGACAGAAAAATTAAGGGTCAGAGGGACTGACTAGCTTATTCACTATGCTTTCCATCAATCTTTCTAGAATTCAAATGCAAAATTATCATTGAAGGGGGACAAAACCCATAAAAAAGAATAAGGTGAAAGGTGCCAAAAGTTGAATTACACTTGTTAATGATTCTGGAATATTGAGGTCCAAACAACGCATATAGATACAAATTTAGACACTTGTAAGTTGCGTCCTAATATCCATATACTGACAAACACATCCTGAAATAATATTTAAAACAAATAAAGAAAGAAAGAAAGAGATTTACCACAAAATGCTTTTTGCCCATTAAAAAAAAAAGAAAAAACATAACACTAATGTAAGTATTGGATAAATATTTGATGATTTTTGACGATTCCATCGATAGCTTAAGAGATTTATATGTTCATTCTATGCACATGTAATGACAAATCAAAGTAGTCGAAAAAATTACATGCAAAGGCAAAAGCAGGACGACAAGCACATGTGCAAAGACACCCCATATCCAAAAATCGCAAAAGCGACAAAGTACAATGAAACTTTATTTGTCCTAAAAAGGAAATAAATATGACATATAACCCCAAAAAAAGAATGAATAATGAAAAATTGTTGAAATAAAGAGAATAATTACTTTGGATAAAAGGGAAGAGATGTTTGTTGACAAATCTCGAAGCTTCAGGACCACCATGACCGTCATAGACACCAACGTAGGTAGCAGAAGGAGATGTAAAGACCTGGCTTTGATCTTCAAGGTTGTTGTTTGCTTGCACCACAGCGATGGAGTAATCACCGGAAGCGTGCGGTTTAAGGTCAGTGTGCCACATGAGACCATCCCCACCAGCCCTCACCCCAAGGCAACGTTCAAGCGGCCTGGAAAGCCACCGTAACATCATCATCCTTTCGATTGGTCCCCTCTCAGCTATCAATGATCTTTTATTCCTTATCACTAAACAGAGAGTTTTAATGGGGTCTTTTGGAGAGTCTTGTAGGGGTTGGTCTTTGATTTTGTTGCCGTGGTTTTTGGGTAGGTAATGGAAATTTAATAGAGAGAGAGAGAGGAGAGTGGGGCAAAGAGAAAGGGAAGATGCCGCGTAAAGAGGAAGATGACGAAGACCGATGCTTGCTATATTACCATGTACTCTACGCGTTAAGCCGTTTAACAAAGGCCTAATTGCTTGGTTTTTTTCTTTTCCTTTTTACTTTATTTTTTACTTTTCGACTTTTTAAACTTCTTTATGACAGATTATTTCAAATTAATATTTTTATAGAGTTTTTAAATTTTATTATGATGATAATACGGTGAAATAAAATATTATAATTTTTTAATTTCGTTTAAGAAATTAAAAAAATTTTAATAATATAAAAATTTAATTTTATATATAAAAAGAATATTTTTACATTTTTATGTTCTAGCTATAATTATATGTATACACACACAATAGACTAAAACACTAAAAAACTTTATGAACTATTTCACTTTTCATCAATAAATTTTTATTTTTTTATACTAAATCCACTTTTATCTTTTAATTTTATTTAAATAAAATTTTATTTCAAACAAAAAAATAATTTATGTTAATGATTTATTTAGATATAAATTAAATATTAAGTATTTGTTTTGATAAAAATAAAAAATTAAAAGTTTGAAGTGAAAATTAAAAGTTAAAATTTTATTTAAATATAATAAAAGTAAATAAATTTATTTAAATAAAACGATAAAATTTAAATTTTTTTTGTTATTTTAACCTTATATATAATACTTTTCTTTTTTCATTTGAGTTGAACAAGGGAGTCGATTTATGGTTTTTTTTTTTTTTTAATTTTTTGGATATTCAAAGATTATTAGTTGTGAAGCTGACGGAAAGATATAGAAACCAACTTAAGTCAAGTCAATACATGTTAATTTTTTATTGCAGTTGAAATGACTTCAAAATTTCTTGTCGAATTTATTTATTTAGATACAATAGAAGAAGGAACTTCGTCCGAAATTACATGCAAAATTTAATTTGAAGTAGGGCAGGTTGGTCAGAGAACCCAAACTCTTTCTTTTTTTTTTTTTTTTGTGTGTGCTTCTGCAATTGGGCTGACTCTCAAAATTTCCAACAGAGCACAGGAAAAATGGGAAAAATAAGAGAAAAAATGAAAGAAAAAAAAACCCTTATGTTTCTATTATATAAGCAAGCAGAGTGAAACCTGTGAGCACATGGCAACCGAGTGAGCACATCTTCGCCTCTGAAGCTCTCCGGACATATACTGCAACCCCTCGATTCTAGGGTTGAGAAAAAAAAAAATTAAAATCATAATATTCTATTCAATTTGAATCGATTTTTTTATTTAATTTAGATTAATTTTAAATATTAAATAGATATATTAAATTTGAATCAAGAAAAAAAAAGAATCGAATTATATATTTTTAAAAATTTTTAAAAATAAAAATAATAATTTATATTAAAATTTACTTAAATATATTAATATTTTATATTAAAATAATATATAACAATTTAAAAAATTAAAATCAGTAGACTTAACCGATAAAATTTAGTTCGATTTAATTTCGATCAAATAAAAATTCAAATTCAAATTTAGATCAAATTTTAAATTTTTATAATATTATATAATATTTAAAAAAATCGAACCTAACAAGATGATTCCATTGATAATTTTCTTTCAACATCCACCTCTTTCGATTCGATGCTTGAAACTTCCAGTGGCAAACTGCTTAATGCAAGATGTAACATAAATACGTCAGTTACTGAATGCTACGCACAACATAATTAAATAAAATACAGGTTCAGGTGATCCACATGCTCCTCTCAAGCAATCAATGGATGTATGGGAAGTGGCAGCAGAAGAAGTGGGCTGAATAGTAATAATGGTTAGTGATGTTAGTAACACTGATATTACTAAAGCACAGAAAGCACCAGCAGTCTGCTGGGACTGAACAGTAATAATTGTTTGTTAGTCATGCAACTACAACAAACAACAGCAGCATTGGGCCAGGAAATTATGGTTCTACTGGTAGCTGGAGAGTAACAAAAGCAATACATGCTTTAATGTATTAGCAGAAGTGGGACTCAAAGTAATGACAGATTTTTCAAGCATAAAGTCAGTGTCATGTTTTTAAGAAAAAAAAATCTGTCGAAACATGATGATTATAGTAGGCAATTCCATAAAAGTACGAGGGTATCAGAGGCCAAAACAATTGTAGAAAGTTAAATTCACTAATGACAACCTGCCTAACTGATTGAATTGCTGAATCATAGTACATGGTAAATTAAAATGGTTTGGGCTGAGTGAAATTAATCTCATCATTAACTGGCTATAACCCCAAAGCCATCTGCCTAACAGCTCTATACAGTAACTCTTTCTTTATTGCTGAACCAAGTCAGACTACAATACCACAAACTTATCATTTGGATGCACAAATAATAATGGAACATAATCAACTGCAACACACTGAATCTTCCTATACAGATTGCTAATATGATAGTTGGTTCTTTTGATTATTTTGCACCACAAAACAGATCCACAAAATCAAAGTACAAAAGCAAAATTATTATCTGAATTCAGGTGAAGTTTTACAAATATCCACATGATTCATCTATACTATCATCAAACTACACAAATAAGTTATAGATGTGATGTGCTGTCTTTCAAAAATTGGCACTGATTTAAAAGGAGATTGGTGTCAGACCAAGAATGGCTGGTGTAGGTTTGGTCCAACCATGGCAGCAAAAACAAAATAAGTGCCACAGGTAGGTTCACCATCATGGATTACAGTTGGCCATCCATTTGATGTCAAAGATCATGCAGAATTATAATATTCAAGATGAATATAAACTTGATTCAGTAGCTATTATAGTATATTTGTTCTTTCACTTTGACAAGTAATAATAAGGTAAATAAATCCTGGACAACCAATGCAAACACTAGAGTTTCAAACTTGTAGAGAGCTCTAAGCACCAACCTGTTTGCAGAAACAGAAACACCTCTTAGTCGCCCAATAATTCTTGCTCTTGCAAGCAGCACAGCTCCAGGAAGCCTCTCATTCGAACTCAAACTTTGCCTGCTTGAACTGCTTACACCGTCTGCATTTAAACCATTGCTCGATACAAACTAGCAGATACCTTGGTCAAACCGCATTGATGCACGCCCCTGATAAAGCCAATCAATGCAGAATTACTCATAGACACTCAATAACGATAAAGAAGGTAATGATACAAGCTCAATGCACCCAATATAAGTAATTCCAGAGAGGAAAAGTAAGTCATAAAAAAGAGGTAGTATCAAACTACGCTTCCTTTTCATGTATAGGTTAGTGGCCAAATTTTACTTCAAGTTTCCTTTTCAAGGACTAAACTTGAAAGAGTCCAATGCCCTCAATTGTGCAAAGTATGAATAGGATCAGATGAAATTTCATCATCCCACCCCTCATTTTCCTTTGCCAAACATCTCTTTCCATCAACTAGAAAAAAGCTTTTGGTAAAAGACAATTTCATATATAAAAAGTAAATCTTTTGGGCCACAGGAAACTCCTGACAATCCCACCAAACTCCCAAATAAACGTTTTTTGGCCGTTGACGCGTTTGTGCATTGTTCTTAAGCACGACCAAAAAAGCTGCAGAGTATAGAAAAAAAGACAAAAAAAAAGAAAAACCCATCTTTGAAAAAGCAATTATTAGAAGTCTGAAGAAGAACAGAGAGCCACAGAATTCAATAAAAAAAAAGTTGAAAAGAGAAAATATTGGATAATAGTAAAAAAATTGTTGAAAGAAGATCCGTAGATGAAAGGAAAAGCGAAGAGCTCGAATAGAAGGCTAGGGCTACGAACTGCCCTTCTGTTGTGCTCTCTTTCATTCCTTGCTGGCTTGTTTGTTTCGATCTGTGTCTCTCAGGTAACTTGTAATTATGTATTCATCTGAAGTGTCTATAAATTGGGTTATGCGGTTAACTAATGGGGCTTTTATAGGATGTGCCGATTATTAGACCCAGGCTGAGAAGGCTGGAGGTGGTGCATGTGGAGGGTGGGGAGCATCGTGATCCGATGCCAAATGGAGTAACCGGGGAGAGTTCGATCGAATCTATTCCATTCCAGGTACTTCTCATCTTTTGTTTCTAGCATTTCTTTTTGGTTTAGTGCATTGAATTTTGAATGATGGCTTTGATTATCATATGAGATTGGTTATGGTTAGATTTTACTACTAATTATTCAATATGGGTTAGAGTTTTTTTTTGGTGAAAGGGTTTGATTCTAAATGCTTTTGTTGGGATATTTATTATTTACTTCAGTTATAGCACTTGGCTTTAGGTTTTGATTCTTAATAGCACTTATTAGTTAAAGTATTTTGATTTGTAGGTTGGATATGGGCCATGAGCCAAAATTGGAATGTCATAGTCGTTTGTAATCTGTGGTAAAAACCCAGAAAAATGAGATGCAAGCAATTGGTTTAGAATCTATGAGTAACAATATTCAACTCCAGAGTTAAAATTTTATCAATGCATGTTTGTCCAGATTTAACAGGAGTTTTTAAATATTAAAGGAAAAAGTAATGACACAGAACAAGAAATTTATGTGTAAATATTTACATAATTCAGTGGTTGAAGTCTGCTAGGAACATGATAAACTGCCCCAATGGAAGACATGTTAAGGAAACAATAGTAAGAATCTTTTATTGTGCATTTCTTTCAGGTGTTGCTGGCTGAAGACATGGTCTGCAAGTATCCTTTTTGTAGACTAACTATCTATGCCTGCTTGTTGAATGCAGATTTTAAGTTGGAAACCACGAGCTTACTATTTTCCCAACTTTGCAACCGCAGAACAATGCAAACATGTAATTGAAATGGCAAAGTTAAACCTTAAACCATCTACTTTGGCTTTGCGCAAGGGAGAAACTGCAGAAAGCACTAAAGGAACTAGAACAAGGTGCCCTGATATGTCGTCATTTCTGTTTTATTATCAATTTCTTGTTGATTTTGAGTTGAATGGTAAACTGTAAGTCAATGATTCTATTAACTGATTCAAATTAACATCAAGACCAGTTAGTATTGTACCCCTTTTGTCAGTGAATGGTTTGAATTGGTGAATGCTGATAGCTTGCTTTCTTGATGTTGCATGTAAAACTTGTGTTGTTAATTTATACTTTCCTTGGAAACAGTTCGGGAACTTTTATTAGTGCATCAGAAGATAAAACTGGGACCTTGGACTTGATTGAGAAAAAAATTGCGAAGGCTACAGGCATCCCACTGAGCCATGGAGAGGTACGTTTTCTTTTTCGGATGAAACTATTATTATATCTCATGTTGTAAGTTGAGTAGTTCATATGAAATTGTTGGAGCAAGTTTAAGCAAATATGGACACTTTTTCTGTGGGTAGACTTTTCCAGTTTCAGTAATTTTTTCCCTATTTTATTAGGCTGAAAATTTAAGGGAATTATAAACTTAAAGCAACTGTATGAAAATGAGCCACAGAGTGTTGTGAATGGAACTTTGAAGAAAAATCAATTCAGCTTCCAAAAGACACTTTAATCGTAAATTCATAACTATCTCACCAAACCAATTGTTAAGATTTATAAATCTGCCACCTTTTGTTTGTTTTTGAAATTTCAGATGTGTCTTATTTACTTCTTTAAATGCATTCCGTCATCTTCGACGTGTTACACAAGTTCTTCTGGTATGCTACAAACATACTAGTTGTTTGTAATTATATGCTTGTACCCAAAGACCAAGTTAATCAAATTGTAGTTTAATGAATCCTGTTATACTACTTGCAGTGAAAGTAGAATATCTTACACAGAGAGAGAAAGGGAGAGGTTCTTGGAATTATGCAGCATAGTTAAGGTGTTTTAGAGGTCTGTCCCTAGAAAGGGTGGAAACACTCTTTGATCATTATATCATCCCCAGGGATATAGTAAATACACAGTCCGCATGTTTTGAATTTTAATGTTTTTGTTGATTTAAATGTGCCTTGTAGTTGGAAATTATGTAATTATGTAGCCATGTTATGTAATTAATATGGCTATATCTATGCTTTGTTGATTTGAACCTATTTCACAAACTTATGAAATCTCATAGTATCTAATGATAAACCAATATTACTCTGCAAATATTATCTTGGTATATTTCCTGTTTGTTTTGAAATTTGAAATGACGAATCTTTCTATTGGTTATTTTGAATTGCTCTAAGTTGACATTCGCATATTGCAGGCATTTAATATTTTGAGGTATGAGATTGGACAGAAATATGATTCTCATTATGATGCATTCAATCCATCTGAATATGGTCCACAATCAAGCCAAAGGGTACAGTCTTATACGTGAACTTCATCATTGCATGCTTGTTTAATTGCAGTTTCTGGATTTTTTTTTTAATGTGCACGTGGCAAATTGAAATGATTAATGTTCTGTCTGCCTATAAGTCAAAACTGCAAATACTATAGTTGGATGTAAATTTTGGTTAGTTTTGTTTTTATATACGAGTTTTAAGTTCTGTGTTTTTTTACGAAACCAATACTGTAAATAACATGTATGGATTCCCTTCATCATGTTTTCTATAATTCTTACGAAGCCATATGCAGAAGACCTAAAACATTTTACTTATTTAACCTCGAACCTTCTCTTGCAGGTTGCATCATTCTTGTTGTATTTATCTGATGTAGAAGAAGGTGGAGAGACAATGTTCCCTTTCGAGGTAGATATGGAAATGCTAACATGCTTTATCTCTCCTTCCTTTGTTATAGTGAGTATTAATGTCGAGTTTTGGTACTGACCCTTTTATTATGGTTGCAGAATGACATGAGAATCAAAGGCTATGACTACAGACAATGCGCCGGTTTAAAAATAAAGCCACGAAGAGGGGATGGACTTTTATTCTATTCACTCTTTTTGAATGGCACAATTGATCGGGTAAATTTCGTGCTCGCAAATCAAATTTAATACATTTTGCATGCTCCCAATCCGATGTTCGAGGCTTTATAGCTGTTATAACGCTCCAAAACAGTATCCTTTTCGTTTTGCCATCATGCTTGTGGTTAAACTTTGGGTGGCAGGGTAGAGCTAAATCCTCATTGTAGCTTTATGGATGATATTATTACTCAAATGTTCTTTCTCTGTTTCAACGTTATTTGCAGACATCTCTTCATGGAAGCTGTCCAGTGATCAAAGGGGAGAAATGGGTTGCTACAAAGTGGATTAGAGACCAAGAGCAAAATGACTAATAGAAGTTGCCGTAAAATTCACAGATTGTCAACGATGTTATTAACTTCATAAATGACTAATAATTCTTTACGAATTCATGCCCATTTTCAACTTTGATTGTTTGTTTGTTTTTTTTTTTTGTTGGCAACAACCCCATGACTTCCCCATCCCTATGAATACCCTTTGTCAAAAAAAAAAAAAAAATAACAGATGAAAAAATAATCGAAGAAAGTCACGTTAATAGCTCATATGATTAAAAAAATTATCATATCAGTTTTTTAACAATGTTTTTATAATTTATTATTGACTAGAAAAAACACTTTGTGCATTATTACGAGTAAATATTTTTTGTTTTGTTACCTTTATTCATGTTATTTTTTTTTATAAAATTGATCTAGTTAAAAAATAAAAGATGAAAACAAAAGAAAATGACATGTGAATATCTTAATAGATTTATTTTTTTATAAATTTATCTAATAAAAAACAAAATATAAAAAAAAAAAATTTTTAAAATAAAAAAATAGAAAAAAAACTCAAGAGGATGACACATTGACACCCACATTAAGCTTAAAATATTAATTTATTAAATTAAAACAAAAAATAATTTTATTAATATAATACATATATATGTATAAAATTTAATAAATAATAATATATATTTTTGAAATAACTCAAAATATAACACTCTAAATATACTTTTGATCCGAACTCATTTCTTTTTAAAAAATTTAATATGTTTTAAAGTATATTATTTAAAAATAAAATAACCCACAAAATTCATCTCTAGGTAAAATATTATAAAAATATTTAAATATTAAAAAAATCAAAAAATTTAAAGGAAAAAAAAGAAAAAAATTTTAAAATCCTAAAAAATATTTATTAAATATAAAAAATATAAAACAAGCATGACATATTTTTAGTATCAAATGGATCCTATAAAAATCAATCTAAAATCTTGAAAAAATTAAAAATAAAAAGTTTTGATAAAGTGAATCTCATTTTAAAAAATAAAATTTATAAAAAATATTTATTAAATATAAAAAAATTAACAAAGTAAACAAAGAAAAAACAAAAAAAAGGTGACAGCATAAAATTTGATATTGTACTATTAATCCGTACATTGTAAAAATTTAAGTAATGGATATTTTATATTTCAAAAATATCAGAATAAAATTATTTAATTTATTATATAAAAATTAAATTCTAAAATTGTTAGATAAATACAGTCTATCCCATAATTTGACCTACTTCAATGTCTTGTCTGTTTTCCTTTATTTCACTTTCCTTGCTAATATTTGATTGTCTCTCCTCTTCGTTCTGCCTTCCAAAAACTCATCTTCAAAACCTCAATCCCATTTGATCAAACCTGTGATTCTTAGATTAAACTGTATAGCTGCTGGAACTTATTGTCTAATTGCCCATCTTGAAATTATAATTGTGATTGAGGCTGTTATCACCTATCAATACTACATTGTTGTAAAATTTTTCCCAATTTTCCTCCATTGAAAAATCGTGAGAAATCATCAATTGAGTTTAGCTTCTCTTGCATGAGCTATGACAAATTCTCAATGGAATGAGAAGAATCTGTATGATTATGTTAGCCTTCCTGAAATTTGCGTCTCCAACTGTCTTTTTGTAATTTTGTATCACTAGAGACACTGTTATTCTTTTGTTTGTGTGGAGTATGGTGAGAAAAGAAGACTTGCAGCATGTTGGAATCTGTCTAATAAATTCTATCATCTCTTAACACAAGATCATCTACACTGTAATGGGAATTCCTTAAATAGTTGTGAAGATTACAGAATTTCTGCATTTCAAGTTCTTTTTACGACTGACCTTTTGGCTCTAATTCTCGTTTGTAGTAGTTGTTCTATTAAGTTGATCACTGATTGCATGAAAGCGAAACCATTTATAGCTTTCAAATAATCATTTTTGTCTTTGATATATCATTCAGTTATGCCTTTAGTTACTATTGTTAAAATGCGTTAGACGCATTTTGTTAAGTCCATTGGCAGAGGTGTGACTTGGTTTTTTGTTTGTTGTTCACATCATGGTTGATCTTGCCTCTGATTCCTCTGATATCATATCTGGTGGATGATGGTGACTGAGTACAATGCAAAGTCTGCGTGCGAACATTCATGTGTACTGCAACAGAAGTGAAGTGCCGGGAACACGCAGAGTGTCACGATCCACGCGTTCCTTCTACCGAAATCACACGACCGTGCGGTATCAAGACTACTCATAGTCAAAATTAGCCTTCATCATGTCCATTTTTCTTCGCGGACAGACCAACTTCGACCCTTCAAGTCGCATGCCCATAAGTTTTTTTGGCTTTTGTCCCCTCAGGGTTGTTTATTCTGAACTTTATAGAAAGGAATCCTCTCTCATTTCGCATCGGCCCACGGTTCTCCAAGTAACCATGAGCACTTAGCTCTGGCCGTAAGGCTTAATGCTTCGAGCCCCGACCCTCGAATCTCGTAGGGGCACACAGCCCCGGTTCTCTTGATGTTATTACATCTTGGCATGATGGGAACCCAACACCATGCCCACCCGTATGATACGCAAGCTCTCATATCAAGTTTACGCAAGCATCCCATTCACGCTAATCAGCAGCCAGCTCGGAGCCTCTAGGCTCAACTCGTCCCTCGAGACTCGGTTCTTAGGGCTTACGCCCTTAGCATCAATATCGGCCGCCCGCACGCATGACTGACACCCAACATCATGCTAGTCCCGCAAGAAGACTCGGGTGGACTGCCCCTACTGCAGCACACCAGCCGCTCGACTGGCCACAGGGGTCTAGCAACATGCCTGCCTGTTAGCCCGCGCATCCTCTCGGCTCGATGGCATCCCTCCTACATGAATACCATCGCGTGGTCGAGTCCCACAAGGGTCCTTGGGTGGACTGCCCTAGTTGCAGCCCACCAGCTCGACTGGCCACAGGGGTCTAGCAGCGTGCCCGTTGGCTAGCCCGCGCATCCCTTTGGCTCGATGGTATCCCTCTTACGTAAATACCATCACCTGATCCTTCCGGCTTGAGGAGGGGAAACTGAGGGGCCTAACGATCTCTACCGTCCAAACCCTATGGTTCAACGCAAAGGCGCGATACGAGGCCCGTCGGCCCCAACCGCCCCCGGGTTTACCGTGACCCGAGGAAACATTGTGCCACGCTCGTGACCTTACGATGTCCGCCCACCTAGCCACCACTAGTGACTAGGAGTAGCTCACTTCAAACTAGCCAGGCCCCCACCTGCCCGCTAGCCAAGGGGGTGGTGGAGAGCTGACACCAGTCGTTCCCCTATAAAGAGCGTTAGAGATTTTTCTAATATGCTACCAGTGACCGTAAGAATGTCTGAAACGGAGACACTTTTCTACCCAGCCACCTCAGGGCCTTTCTCCGGCTAACTCAGGGCCCCGTAACCTTCCTCTTGGTCACCATTGCTCCTTGATTCTGCTCGTTGCTCCACCAACCCACTCGAAGGTGCCTGCACATGGCTTCGATCGACAGCACCTGTCTGGCTAGCTGGTCCTAGGGCACCGGCGTAATGCCTTATACTTACTTGTATATCTCGGGGTTTAGGGCATGGACCGTCCACACACAATGTCCCTAACCTATTTCCATGCTCAGAACGCCCGCACACTACTCCCACAGATGGCACCTGCCAGGCTACTTGGCTCGAAGGTGTCCGACCACTGTCCCGAACTTCTTCGCGTATCTTGCGGCTCGGGGCTCCCATTGCCCCCACAACATGTTAGCATCATGTTTCAAAGCTCCGAATGCACGCCCGCATTTTTTAGAACCGCTTTTTCGTCAGCTCGATCTCGACTGCTGCTTGCTCCAGGGTCAGTCATGGCAGGACCAAGGCCTGACCATGACACTCTCCCCCACTTACTATGTCGATGCCCTCATCGACGCCTAGACCACACCCAACTATCTTGTTGCACACAGCTGACATTTACTCATATGTCTCTCACTTGTGCCCTCAAGAATTGGGTCGAGGTCCCGTCACATGAGGTACCGCCCACAGTACTCGTCCATTATTGATGTAGATGGGTCACATTGTTGCACTCTTGCCGCTCAACTCAGTTTCTGCTCGAACCGTTTAACCTTGTCGTGGTTGTTCTATATGGGCCTTACCATGGCTTCATCTCTTGATCATGTCATGTTGCGACCTTGAGGCACCCTCGTCGATCAATGACCCTCAGTAGAATGAATGACCACCCGTTTTACCACTCATTGGTACGTCCCACCGGACGTGACCCCTCATACCAACTGCACGCTTGCAACATCAACCCACTGATGCGCCCCTCTAGGTGTGGTGCTTAGGTCAACCGCACTCATACGGCACTCTACATGAGGACCCTAGTATAGTGGCATTCAAGCCCCTAGGTCATCTCCCAACTTGGGTCCTTTCGGCCCCTCCAAGTTCACCTCTCTAGGTGTGGCCCTCTGGCCAACCGCCCTCAAGACGGCACCTTAAAATGCTAACTCGATCTTTGCCCCCGGCTTAAACACTGTGCTCCATTGCCCAAGCTCCACTATCTTGGCTCAGTCTCAAGGGGAATTGATAGATCTCCCTCACTTTTACTCGAAACTCAGCGCCATATTATGCGTAACCATATCTCTTCGATGGTTCTCTTGCTCGATAGTTTTGACTCTGGCCCAGATCCTAGTGCATCCCAAAATCCACTTACACTCGGAGATCCACTGATCTAACAAAACACCTGGTCCACTGATTAGCTTGACTCAGGGATTCATCCGCTCGATCCTCAAGGTCCACTGACCTGCACGTCTGAGGCCTTGTCAACTGGCCGTTTCCCTTTTCTTGTTCCACTGGATTACATCCTGTTGTGGTCCACCGACCACCACAGCTTATGTGAAGCCTTTCTTATCGGCCAACACAGACTCGATTCACCGATTCACACGCCCCCGTGATCCTCTGACCACGAGAACTCCTGGTCCACTGACCATCGCAGCACATGGTCCACTGACCATCCCACTTGTGGCTTCAATCTTTGGCCACTCCATACTCCTCTGTGCACGAATTCCATGCTTGGACCCGAATACTTCGGCTTGCGCCCCCACTGGGGCACCTGCACCATACAGCAAGTGCACACATTAGTAATTAATCTTGAAACTCGATACCTCTTGCCCCTCAGGACAAGGTTCACTCGGCCCACGTGGCCTTACGCAACACCATTTCATGGTGTAAGCCCCTTTTCGCATCTCGGTCTCACTACGGTTCCTTCCACCGTAAAGGCATCACATGCCGCAACATATGCCAACACCTTTTTCCTAGGTAAGGCTAGACTCTGGTGCCCTTTTGCTTGGCATCCAAGAGCCTACTTAAAAGCCATTTTACATTAGCCCAATATTTCCCGCAGCACGCGTCGCTGGCTCATTTCCGAGCCTCTATCGGCACATAACCCACATTTGCATCTCGATAGCTCCATTTGAGCTTAGCACCACCTCGGTTTCGCGTCACAAGACCCACACATGGGTCGTGTATATCTCGCCACTGAGCCAACCTAGGCTCTGATACCACATGTCACGATCCACGCGTTCCTTCTACTGAAATCACGCGACCGTGCGGCACCAAGACTACTCATAGTCAAGGTCAGCCTTCACCATGTCCGTTTTCTTCGTGGATCGACCAACTTCGACCCTTTAAGCCGCATGCCCACAAGCCTTTTCTGGCTTTTGTCCCCTTAGGGTTGCTTATTCTGAACTCTATAGAGAGGAACCCATCTCTCATCGCGCATCGGCCCACGGTTCTCCAAGTGACCATGAGCACCTAGCTCTGGCCGCAAGGCTTAATGCTTCGAGCCCCGACCCTCGAATCTCGTAGGGGCACACAGCCCCGGTTCTCTTGATGTTATTACATCTTGGCATGGTGGGAACCCAACACCATGCCCGCCCGTATGATACGCAAGCTCCCGTATCAAGTTTACGCAAGCATCCCATTCACGTTGATCAGCAGCCAGTTCGGAGCCTCTAGGCTTAACTCGTCCCTCGGGACTCGGTTCTTAGGGCTTACGCCCTTAGCATCAATATCGGCCGCCCGCACGCATGACTGACACCCAACATCATGCTAGTCTCGCAAGGGGACTCGGGTGGACTGCCCCTGCTGCAGCACACCAGCCGTCCGACTGGCCACAGGGGTCTAGCAGCATGCCTGCCTGTTAGCCCGCGCATCCTCTCGGCTCGATGGCATCCCTCCTACATGAATACCATCGCGTGGTCCAGTCCCACAAGGGTCCTTGGGTGGACTGCCCTAGCTGCAGCCCGACTGGCCACAAGGGTCTAGCAGCGTGCCTGCTGGCTAGCCCGCGCATCCCTTTGGCTCGATGGTATCCCTCCTACGTAAACACCATCACCTGATCCTTCAGGCTCGAGGAGGGAAAACCGAGGGGCCTAACGATCTCTATCGTCCAAACCCCATGGTTCAACGCAAAGGCGCGATACGAGGCCCGTCGGCCCCAACCGCCTCCGGGTTTATCGTGACCCGAAGAAATATCGTGCCACGCTCGTGACCCTACGATGTCCGCCCACCTAGCCACCACTAGTGACTAGGAGTAGCTCACTTCAGACTAGCCAGGCCCCCGTCTGCCCGCTAGCCAAGGGGTGGTGGAGAGCTGACACCAATCGTCCCCCTATAAAGAGCGTTAGAGATTTTCCCAATATGCTACCAGTGACCGTAAGAATGTCTGAAACGGGGACACTTTTCTGTCCAGCCACCTCAGGGCCTTTCTCCGGCTAACTCAGGGCCCCGTAACCTTCCTCTTGGTCACCATTGCTCCTTGATTCTGCTCGTTGCTCCACCAACCCACTCGAAGGTGCCCGCACATGACTTCGACCGACAGCACCTGTCTGGCTAGCTGGTCCTAGGGCACCGGCGTAATGCCTTATACTTACCTGTATATCTCGGGGTTTAGGGCATGGACCGTCCACACACAATGTCCCTAACCTATTTCCATGCTCAGAACGCCCGCACACTGCTCCCACAGATGGCACCCGCCAGGCTACTTGGCTCGAGGGTGTCCGACCACTGTCCCAAACTTCCTCGCGTATCTTGCGGCTCGGGGCTCCCATTGCCCCCACAACATGTTAGCATCATATTTCAAAGCTCCGAATGCACGTCCGCATTTCTTAGAATCGCTTTCTCGCCAGCTCGATCTCGACCGCTGCTTGCTCAAGGTCAATCATGGCAGGACCAAGGCATGAGACCATGACACAGAGGCAAAGCATGCTAAATCTGTTCCATATGCATGTTTTCCTCATCTTAGAAAGTTGCACCCAAAACTCAACAGAAAGAACTGGGAGGTTGGGACGGCTTGTAGCATGTATCTATCTTGTATCTCGGTATCATTAGCTTCTTAAAATCTCTTTCACAATTGCAATTGCCATGTTGTGTTCATTCATGGGTGTCGATTGAATCCAGTTGGGTTTTTAGCAGTCTCTGTTGCTAGTTGCTTGATAGGGATACAATTATATGTGGTAAAGCATGCATAACTTGTGCTTACATTTTGCGTTAGTTGCTGTATTGTTTGGTAGAAACTATGTAACGGATTACGAGTAAAATAATATTCAATGATTAAATTATTTTAAAGTGGCCAACAGTCAGGTGGGAGAATGTTGTACCTAGTTTCAGTATTTATGATAAATTTTGATAACGTCGGGTGTTTATAATTAGATTTTGATTGAATTAATTCATCGAATCGATTTAATTTAATTAATTAATTAGTTAACAAAAAAATTTTTTAAAAAATTTTAATTTTTGATTAATTCGATTTAAAAATAAAATTAATCAAATTTTTAATTGAAATATAAAAAAATATAAAATATAAAATATAAAATGAAAAATGAAAAATATATAAAATTCATTATATTATTTTATAATTTATTAGAATTTTTAAGATAATACTTTGATATTTAAATATTTTATTAGATAATTTTGTTTAATTTGTTTAAAATATGAAAATTTTAAAATTTAAAATATAATTTAATTTAAATATATTTATTATTTGGTTAGTTGAAAAATCAAATTAAATTTAATTAGTTAATTTTTAAAATTAATAAATTTGATTTAATTAACGAAAATAAAATAACATAATTTGATTAATTTAATTTTAAATAATTTAATTTAAAATTAATCAAATCGACTTAATGAATACCTCTAAATTCAAATAAAAAAAAACTTTAAAATGATTATGGCATTCTTGCATTAGGACAGGCTGGTTAAGAATGGCAAACTGCTTGTGTCTAACCTAGTTGGCATGTTTTTTTTATGACCAACCTAATTTCTTCAATTTGTAGTTTTGTACTGCAAAATCCCATTAAAGATGGATTTAAGAGATTGGCACTATTCCTACCTAAAAGCACGAAAATTATGGGACAAGGGTACCAAATAAATAGAAGTGGAGGGACATAATTGCAAAGACCTGTTATTGGAACAACAAGGAGTTGGATGGTTGACCAAACGTGTACGAAAAGACATGTGGCGGGCAGGGAAAGGGAAAAGAGCAGTCGTGTCAAGAAAACAGATTGGCTAAACTAAGCTCCTGGAGAATATTCCAACTACATTTGGCTGGAATGAGTCACATGTCAAACACGCCAACCTACCACAAGATCTACCTCTACTCGCTGCACCTACGCTATTTTTCATCTACTCGCTGCTGTATCCATTTATTAATTAAATTAAATTATAGCAGGCTTTTTTTTTTTTTTGAAGAAAATACATCATTAATCGCTCATTCATAGGAGTATTTTTAAAATGATTTTTTTAATTATTATTTTTTTAATTTAATCATTTAAATTTTAAAAAATCTTTTATACTCAAGTTCAATAGTAAATTTTAATTTAAACACGTTAATTAACATGTCATTTGATATTATCATGATAATATCACGTGGCATATTGATAATTGATATAAAAATTTATATGGTAGTATAATGTTATTTAAGTATGCTGCTAAAAATTAACAACTGAATTAAAAAATATTTATTTAAATTTAAATGATTAAATCAACAAAATCAATAATTTAATGATTATTTTAAAAATACTCATATAATTAAGTAACTAATGACATATTTTATAAAAAAAAAAAGATGAGAAGAGATTCTTGCATATTGTCGATGATAGAGAGAATCATACATAAATCTTATAAATAAAATATTTGAATTTGATTAATTCAATCAATCAAATTTTTATTTTAAAGCTAGTGCATTATACCTAAATTTGAGGATAATATTATGAATATGTGAATAAAATAAAATCAATGAAACTTAAACTCATAATAGATAAAAAAAATAGTACTAAAAATATTGTGTGCTTTGATTTTATTTGAGAAATTTAATATGTAAATTAACCTTATAATGTATATTCACTATATGAAATGAAAATAAATAATTTTAAAGAAAAAATAAAATAAAATTGAGTGCATTAATTGTTGATGTTAAATATAAAAAATATACTCAATAAAAATTTATTAAATAAATATCAATTTAACAATTAATTTTTGTTTTATTTATGTTAGTAGTGAAGTTTAGTTTGTTTAGTTTTTTAGGGTTAATCTATTTTTCAAAATTGACTTATGTGCTAAAAGATACAACTGTATGTAGTACTCGTGAAAATAGTCTAAAAATTAGGGAGCCACAAATTTCTGACCACCAAATATGTTAATATTAAAATTAAAATTAAAAAACAGTTTATTTTCATTTGCCTTCAAAAACCCCAAAACCCCAAAACCCTGGTCATCATAAGAGTTTCAAAATTGAAACACAAAAAAAAACCTGCAGCATTCCGAGAGAAAGGGAACACAAAAGGAAAAAATGAGCGGTTCTTTGCGTAGAAACGTGAGTATCATTCGCTTGTTAAAGAATCAGCCATTCACTAACTTCACTAATCCGATCAACAGATTTCATCCGTTTCTTAGGAACCAAACGCACATCCCAACCAGAGAGTTTCTTAGGTTTCCAAATGTTGTACGAAAAGTGAGAGAATATGAGATCTCCCCTACCCTTTTTACTTTTTCTTCTTCGTCTTCAACCGCATCGTTTGGGAAGGTTGGGTTTGTTGGATGGTATTTAGGAATGGTGAAGTCATGGCCTATTTTAACAAAAAGTGTTACTTCCTCGTTTATTTATATAGCGGCTGATGTGTCTTCTCAGGTAAATTTTTTTACCGTAAAAATGGATTTTTGTTGTTTGTAGATTAAAACATAATAGCTTGTATTTGTATTCTGTTTGTTTGGTTGATGATAAAGTGTAGAAAAAGAAAAAAAAAAGCTATCTCTGGAAACTCTCCATGTTTTTGGAAATGTATATCTTAAAAAATGGATAATTTTTCACACCAAACATATGTGAGCCTATTATTTGATTTTGATAAGTACAATACGATTAAAAATGTATTTAGAACATAAAGACTTAAAAATTTATGTATACTCTACTAAATATCATGTAGTCAACTCATATTTCAAAAAGCATGATATATATTGATTTATTGGTTTTTTTAGTTGTTTAATTGACGTTTGAACTTTATTATGTGATATTTGGTAAAATTCAGTTTAGTTTTTTTTCAGTCTTTTTTCCATCTTTTAATTTGTATTATTTGGTGGCCTATTTATTTTTATGAAAATTAACCATTATCATGCATGTTCCATGGACAATACTGTTGAAGAACTAAACGAAATTTTGTATTCTATTATCTGTTTAGACTTGCTTCATTCAGCTGCTTTTTGTGTTTTAATTTTTTTTTTAGTGGCTAATTTTTTCACTTTCGTATCATGCACTGCTCATGGTGAGATTGGTGATTACTTATGTAAAATTGTTCCGAATATCATGTGTCTAGTGTATGCATGACATTATAAACTATAGTTTGCCTGCATTTTATTATGTAATTATACACTTTGCTCACATGCCAAATCCTGTTTGCATATTTGTACCCAGCATTGCCTTTGTAATTAGTTGCATTAGGGCTTACATCTTTCATTATGTTTTAATATTGACTTCTATGGTCAGACAATTTCGAATTCATCGTCAGAACCTTATGATTTGGTGAGGACATTACGTATGGCTGGATATGGGATGTTAATATTAGGACCATCACTGCATTTTTGGTTCAACCTGATGTCAAAACTCTTCCCAAAGCGGGATTTGATGACTATTCTTAAGAAAATGGCCATGGGGCAATTACTTTATGGGCCTGTCATGACCATTGTTTTCTTCTCGATGAATGCACATCTACAAGGTATGCACAATCTTTCCTTGCATGTAATAAGATGAACACAGCTTTGCAATTCTTTAGTTACTCTATTATGCCGTCTTTCCTTACATGTCATAAGATGAACACAGTTTTGGAATTCTTTAGTTACTGTATTATGCTGATTATTCTGTCATAAATTTCATCTGCTCTACCTCATCTTTATGTTTAAAACACAATCAAATTGCAAATGCATCAATGTATAATGCTATTACTCATGCAGCACCTTTTTTTTATAGCCATAGTTGTGATTGTATAATTGTAATTCAACTAGGAAAGATATTGCATTTAACAGAATAATGCATTTACCTTACACATTCGAGAAATAATTGTTGAAAGTACTTTGCTTAAGGAGTTGCAATGGTTGTATGGCTCAGGTGAAAGCAGTGAAGAAATTGTTGCCAGATTAAAGCGTGACTTGCTCCCTACAATGTTAAATGGTGTCATGTACTGGCCCTTTTGTGATTTTATCACCTTCAGATTCATCCCAGTTCATTTGCAGGTATGGTTGATCTACCTTCCTCTGTCCCTCTATCATGGCCTGCACTCTGTTGTGTTATTTTTTTCTCACTCTTCCTCCTCTGGCTGCGAGCAAACTTTTATTTATGGTGACATTCATTTTGACAGTCGCTGGTGAGCAATTCATTTTCATATTTATGGACTGTCTATATGACGTACATGGCAAGTCTAGGGAAAGCAGCTGCTATTACCAGCTGATCGATCTTGGAATCAGGTCCTGATATAACAGTGCAAGCATGCTTAAAGAAATACTCACAGGGATGAATCAAGTGGGTCTCATGTTTTAGTTGTGAATTTCACCCCCGGTTTTCTTCTTCCACCTTAGTTATTGTGATTTTAAAATGATGCAAAAAAGTAGTGATAGAAAGGTTATCGGAGCATTTTGTTAAGACATCATTTGATGTTCTAAACTCTCAGAGTATTATTCTATGAACTTCTTTATTTTTGGGGGGTCTAGCCCTACTGAGTACTGGCAAAATTGGTTCTAATTCCAGTTAGCTTAGAGCAGACACAGGTCCAAGAATGCCTTCCAGGTATCATCATTACATTTCTCAATCTAGCAGGAGATGAAGTATCATCTTCAATTTTAATTGTATGGATCTATCACAGTAATCAAAATACTCTTATTGGTGTTTGCATCTTACATTTTGAGACCTTTAGCTTTCATATAACAAGTAATCAAAATACTTGGTTCGGGTATTAATTTTGTATTAATAGGGAACAAAATGTAACTCATTGGAAACTCAACATTGTTTGTTCCCTAAGAATTCTGCCAAATTAGTCAACAAAGGTGAAGATTTTGCTCAAACGCACAGATATGAGTTACCCCTCTTTCTGTTGGAAATCTTTTCCAAGTAAATCTTATTTTATGTTAAAAAGTGTTTCAGAGAAAGAATATGTTTGAAATTTGAAACTCCAAGTCTGTTTCGCCTGTGTTCATAAAAACACAACAATGCTGAAGTTTCTGTCAGATTAATTGCCGGAGCTATAAATTGTTGGCATAACCATTAGTGCTCCGGTCATTCATCTGGTTTGCCATCCCTCTTGCACTAAAAATCATCCACCTTTCATCTACAATATAGCATTACAATCAGCCAATTAAAATTTAGATTTATGTAGGATCTATCAAAATAATACACGAAGTCCATACTTATAAGTGGTGAAATCTTATGAATATAAAAGTTACATAAGTTTGAAGGATAACAGAACCATTTTCACCTAAATTAACTAGGGTTAATTTCCTATTCTTTGTAAATGAATTTAGAATAATGTGGTACTGTTGTATAGATTCCAAGGAGAACATGTACTTCTGCAACTGATTATCAGTGAAAAATCAAATTAAACCATGAGCAAGAGTACAGAAGTAGAGATCCTAATCTAATTTTAGAACTCCTTCCGCAGAAGTTTCGGAGACTTCTTGGCCAAACTCTGACGATGATAAAACCGGAAGAAGACTAACTGAGGCCTCATCTGTAACTTGTTGACGCGGTTGTGGCACATCCAAATTATCTAAAGACACCAGTGATTGTTCTACATCAAAGTGAGTCCATTTCCTATTGTTTGCATGAAGTGAAGCGGGGTACAGAAGGATTCCAATGATAATAACTATACCACTTACAATGAATGTTTTTACAGAAGCTAGGCACATGACAAGAACAAGCAACAAGGCAGGCGGCAGGCAAAGCATTGTTACCCCAAATGTATGCAAAGGAACTCTATAAGGCCTATGTAGATCTGGCTTTTTTATTCTCAATTTTATAAAAGCAGCAAATTCAAGAAGCATTCCAATTGAATATAGGAAATTCAGAAATTCCAAGATCTCCTGAAAACTCATCCAAGACAAGAAAATAACTCCAGTGGCAGAGCACAAGATGCTAACTGTTGGTGTCCCATACTTTGACCTACAAAATGGATTCCAAAGAACATGATCATGGAACAGCTCATAATAATCATATCAATACATCACTTCACTCGTATTAATATGGATCTCTAACTATAAGTACTCATAAATCTGAACAATTAAGGTTAAGGAATCAAAATCAGAGAACTAACGTACCTTGAAGCAAAGATGGCTGGGAGCATTCCCATCTCACTCATTCCAAGAAGTTGGAAAGCATCTCCACTCATCTCAGCTTCAAACAACCCCAAGTTAGACATCGCAGCAGCTACTTGAATCCACCATTTGAGCCAGAAGCCTCCTATCAACATCCCAACTTCTGCAAAATACCCATCAGTCCACTCACTAGAAGAATTCAAAGCCCCTGTCCCAGCAAGAAGTGGAATTAAGTATGAACAAACCACCACGACCACTGCCCCAAGAAGTGCCTTTGGAAAGGTCTTACTTGGATTTTCTACCTCCCCAGCAAGAGTACTTGCCTTGTCCCAATAATTCAGATTCCAAAACATACTATTAAAGTAACCCCTCCAATCCACCTTCTTAAAATCTACAATAAGCCACTGCTTAGGCTTTATTCGAGGAATTGAAATAATCCCCATTACAAGAAAGGGAAAAAGTGAGAAAGCAGCAAGGAAAACAGCAGATAACCCCACTATGTGTAGTCCTCTATAATTCAAATATGTTAGTGAAACTGTGATTCCTAAAAGAGCTGGAATTCGAGCAATTAAATTGTTAAATATTGGAAATGAATGTTTCAAGTAATCGAGAAACAACACAGGATATAAAGCATTGTCCATCACCCCACTAAACCATTTCCAAAATCCTTCTTGAAACCCCCAAAAGGGACCAAAAGCTGAAGATATCCAAATAACATAACCACCATTTTTAGGGAAGCTTGTAGCAAGTTCAGCCGTGACTAGAGCTTCTGGGATGCTCCAAATCAAAGGGAATATCAAGAAACCAAGCAAAGACAAAAGAGGACCACCTCCTGCCCTCACTGAATCCTCTACACCAAAAGGACCCCCAGATACCTCATAGAATATCAAAGCAATAAGTGGCAATACCGTTAGTTTTGGGTTGGCTTTGACAAAACTGTTCTTGTCATCACTTACCATTCCCTCCTCACCCATCCACAGACAGGAAAAAAGAGAAAGAAAAAGAGTTTGAAACCTAACCACAACAGATAGACTCCCTGAAAATGGAAAAACAAAAATCAGATCTTTTTGGAGTTTGAAGTTCGTAACTTTAATACCACCAAACATCAAAAAGTACAAAAAAACATATGAATTTTGTTAAGAAAACAAACCTGTCTTCAAAGGATTTCTGAACTAGATCTCGCCTGAACTTCAGAAAGAAATAATCTTTTCAGATCTCCAAAAAGAGAACATGTTGTAGGTTTTGATCCTTAAGTTGAATCTGCCATAATTCTTTTCAGCCCACGCTTTGTTGCAGAGAGTGTGGCATACTCAAAATTGAATATGATAAAGAACAAATACACAATTCCATTAACAAACTCAAATTTTTGCTGTGCAGAAAGATATTTCATGTTTTATGAATACACGAGGAAAACAAAAAGTCAAAATTTTCTGACATAGGGATGTGGGATACAAGTGCGTGCTGATGTGCGTGGGATGAGTGATGGTATGGTTCTAGCTTCCGGGGACATGGCAAGCACCAACTCTGCGACTTCCGGCCTTTCTGAGATCAGCTTGCCAGTAATGAATAGCCAAATGGCAGCCCGTGAGAATCCCATCACTGATCAAAATTCTATTATTAGCCAATTATTGCCACTCTTCAATTTGTTATCTTTTAGAAGTTTTAAACAATAAATTTGTTTGTTTTTTGAATATCATCAATTAAATTTTACTGTCATCAGCTTTTTCAGTGATAAAATTACATTCATGAAAATAGAAAATAATATGATTGTAATTATTTAATTAATATATATAAAATAAAAAATTATATATAAAATTATGTCAACATATTACATTAAAATATATTTTTTGTTATAAAATTATGATATCATTTATTAATTCTTTTTATATTATTATTATGATTGTATTTATATTATAAAGCACATACATTGTTTCTACTTATTAATTATAAAATAATATTTGGGTCACGGTTTTTTTATTGAAGCATTGCGTCTTTTTGGCCAATTAAAGACTGAGGGCAAAACGTGCCCACATAACAATTTGGAAACTAGGGTTTTCGGACTCCGTCTATAAATACCGTCATTTTCCCACTACATCCAACTCTTAGCAAAATCTAAGTTCTCAATTAGCTCTCAGGCCTCCCTCTGCCTTTAAGAGCTTTGATCGGAGCAGCTATAATCAATCATGGGTCACTCTAACATCTGGAACGCTCACCCCAAGACCTATGGTCCAGGCTCTCGCGCCTGGTAACTTCTTCTATCAATTCTTCATTCTTTTGATTGCTTAGAAATTTCAAATAGAAAACTACTGTTGTTAGCTCTTTATCATATAGGACTTTAGTTTTCTGCAATATGTTTCTTTTTATCAACCATTTAGCATGTTAATCTGTGTATAAGTGTTTTAATGACATGGGATATGCTTAGATTGAGATTGTTATGAATTATTTGAATTATGTAGAAATATTTTGACAAGGTTTTTGTCAAATCTGGTATTTTCTTGGTTAAATGGTTTTAGGGTGTTTTCATGTTACAAGGACTTAGTATTTTTTGTTCTGTTTTTTTAGCCGCGTGTGTGGAAACCCCCATGCCATCATCAGGAAGTACGGACTCATGTGTTGCAGACAGTGCTTCCGTAGCAATGCCAAGGAAATTGGATTCATCAAGGTAAAACACTAACACTTTGTCAGTTACTCATCTGATGGTTAATGTTATCTTACTCTATAATTTTTGCATCAGCAGCTTCTTAACCTCTTTGTTTTTTTTTTTTTTTTTGTCTTCTTCTTTGCAGTACCGCTGAAGAATCTCTATGGTGTGAAGTAGGAAGGACTTTGTCCAAGTTCGAGCCATTGTAGTGTGGTTTTTGAATTTCAATGAACTTTAAGAGAATGAATTTCTTTTTGTTGAGTTTAGTCTGGGACCTTAAAGTGTTTTACTAAGAGTACTTTGTGTTCTCGATCAAGTAATCATACTGTTTTTATTCGGTATTTTCTTATTGTTAGTTTGCTATATATTGTCTTTGCAGTGTGATGATCCTGTTGATTATTGGCATTTCATGTGTTACAGAAATGGAATTAGAGGTTTATGTTGTTTATACATCTTGAAATCTGTGAGACTGAAGTTTTTTGGTCTTAATTGTCACATTCGATTCTTGTTATTATAGTGTTAGGTCATGGATATTATGGTCCACGAAATGGTTGCATATCGATTCAATGCATCAAAATCTGCCATTGTGGTATTGATGTTCAAAAACAAGTGGTTTTCCCTTACTAAATTGTGTGCTTATGGAAACTTTAGTGCCTTGTGTTTGCATAAGATGATGCTGGTGCTTTGGGGTATTCAATGTGGGCATGAATCATGGATGTTCTGTCATCTTCTGTAATAAAATGCTGCGTCTCTCATAAGACAAAGCAGCTTCTCCTGATTGTTTCTGTTTTCATTTTCACAGCGCAAACTCGAAGATTGGATTTTGGCTTTTTATGTACTTTCTTTAATCTGAAAATGCTATTTTCTTTTCTGGGTTCGGAAAAAGGGATAAAATGTAAATTGAGTTGTTTAGCCTGTTGTTTCCTACTTTGAATCCAATTTAATGATGGGAATGGCAGGCATAAGTGCCTAAGAGGGCTCCCCATGTTGGGTTATGCTGGAGTTTGGTAACTCACAGCCATTATTTTGCAAACAAAAATTTGGTAATTTTTTTCAAACAAAAGTGGATCATGTCTTTACAAGCATACAAGAAAGGTTCAAGATCAACCAGCTTAGCATTATCGACGTTTTATTTGGGAGCTGCGATTTATAGCTGTAAACCGCACCAAAAGATGCTTATGATTGGATCCCAAGCGGGCCTGGCTCATATTTCGTCTGATTTTAGCAATGCATTTTCAATCCGGTTTGACAAACCTTGTGCCCACAGCATGAGAAGCAATTAGACTTGCATTGGGAATGTTTTATTTTGTCCATTCTCATCCTCAAGGTGCAGCATAACTTCAGTTTTTCAATTTATTTATATCATAGATGGTAGGGCATGAGGAGATCGAAGAAGTGTAGTTGATATTTTTGGGCTTTTGGCAATGGAACTTGGAATTGGCTGATTATCGTCGTGCTATTTTCAATGTTTTTGAATGTTGGGACTGAACGCAGATAAGGCCTTGTTATTGTGGATAACACACAAATTTACCAATCAATCATTGCATAAAATTGAGTTTAAAATTTTAATTGGCTGGTTTTCTTTTCACATAGACTCCGTAAGCCTAAATGCTAGGCAATTCTTCTGACTCAGTTTCCTCTGAATCTGATGCCTTACTTTCCCAAACAAATAGCTTCTTTTAATAAATCTGAACTCAAGCAAGGTTGGTTTTTGTTAATATTTGAAGCTACCAAAATTTGAATTTTGGTTACTTAAGAGTCCATCCACGCAGCTGCTAGCAAAGCAAGGGGACTTTCAATGTAATAAGCAAAGTAGAAATTCTCATGTCACTAAATTTTGTCATTTTGTGTGAAAGGCCCCTGAAACTGAAACCTCACATCTTTTTCAGCCTTTTGGCTAACATCAAGTAATCTTACAGTGAAACCAACGAAACCTGGAAGTCTCCTTTTACAAGAGCTAAGCTATCAACTTCACCTCAAAAGTTGCAGCTTAACGAAGTTCTTTTTTCTGATATGCAATGAGAGATGAGCTTAAGTTTTCGTAGTTAGATGCGCTGAACAAGCAAAAGGGATCTGCATTATTCTATTTCACCAACCCCCTTCACTAAATTTCTTCTTCTTAAAGCTTTTTTTGTACATTGTCTGTACCTTTCTTTTCGAATATCAATTGATCTCTCGATCATAGATTTGAAATTCTGGAAGCCTCCTCAAAGTCCCATCAAATTACTCAAGTTTTAACTTGTATGTACATTTAATGTCAAATTAAAGCCACAGAAATGTTATCAAGGCTGGCAGATCAGTCACTAGAATGGAATATACTTATCACTTTGCAGTTTGCACTTAAATTCTTATTGTGGAAATTTGATATTTGTGGTCAAATTAAGTTTGTTGCAAGATGTTCATTAAATTCCTGCACTGATTCAGACCAAAGCTTTGTCTTTAATGTTGTTTGTCAAACCACATTTCTGGGGAAAGGCACATGTTGGGGATGGCATTTTAAACTTGTTTGAGAACTTGTTTATGTTTTGACCTTTGAGTGCTGTTGTTAGCGGTGTTGTCCTTAGATGTGGTCCATTTTGCAGGTAAGAAAACGGATGACAAGCACATTCTGAAATTTGTTGGTAACAAATCACAATTCTCAGCTGAAATGGGAAGTAATATATGTCAAAAATAAAGGGAGAAGAAGAGGAAGAAAGAGAGGAGGTTTGTTTAGCAGATAGACACAGACTTGCAAATGTGAGGTAGAAGAGGAAAGGAGAAGCAATGTTGGAAAGCTATGGGTCCAGAGACAAAATCATTCTCATAAGTTTATAATCACTTGGAAAGTGGGCTAACTGAAACCCCAATTAAACAAACATCACTTAGTGGGTGTCTTTCTTTTAAACCAATTATTCTATACATGGAGTATGTTTTAAGTCACCCGCCTGGCTGCAAAGTTTCAACTAGCATCATTTCATAATTCATAGTATAGCCAGAGTTTACCAGTAACGTCCTTTTTATTAATTATGTCTTTATAATGTTAAAAATAATAATTTGCCAACATTTGTTGATAGAATGTTGGACTCTTAATTTCAGTGATTAAAGTTCAAATCTTCATAACCTCACAATTTGCTGATGAAATTGAAGGGTAAGTCAGCTGGTACGTGGGTTCTTAACAGCTTAAATTTTAGTTGTCGGTTGATTAAAATCATTAAATTGGTCTTAGCCATATATACTCACTTATGCCTTGTCTGTCCTTTTTTCCTCTTTAGTTGCAGCTATCTTTTCCTGTTGTTCATCGGTCAATGAAATTTGGAAACTTAATCGGGTATTAAGTGCATGAACTGCTAACCCGAACTTAACTTTGATGATTCATGCAGTCAACCTTAAGAAGTGACATTCAATAGGTTTAAAGTTTAAATTCCAACAACTGTGTCCCCTTCCCTAATCTTATACTACAATCTCCCTTGTAAAAAAAAGAAGTGCATGAACTGCAAAGTCCAAACAAAAACAACCAAAAGCTGGCTGTGATTTTCGGATTTGGTGTTTCTTCTTCTTCTAACTAATTATGATGCTATGGTTTTCTTTTTCAAAGTGAATGTTTTTCTCTAACCACTAGTGCTTTCTGAGTTTACCCCATATATATATATATATTATCATCATTGGAAAGAAATCTTTTCCATCTATACTCACCAGTAATCCAAACAAAATGCAAAGATTTGAAATTCTGATAACTAACTTCTATCTGGGAACTATGAAAAACACTTGGTTGCTGATATGCATACAAATTAATGGGAAATTCAATATTTTGTACCATTGACCTGCAATGGGAAAAGAAGCAAAGATTCTCTGTTATTATCTTAATTGAAGTAGTTGATATAGTAATCCAAAACTTTGCTTAATCTGCAGAATCTAGGGGAAAAAAGCAATAGAAAGTCAAATATAGAACAAACACAAGAGGCCATTGATGTAAGCCTTGCAACTAAATGCAGAACCAAGCAGAAAAATTATATGATTGAAACATCATTTTCGTTTTCAGACACATGGATCACACAACACTTTTTATAAAATTGTAAAAAAAAAAAAAAAAACTTTCCATCAGAAGAAAAACTGCAGGGAGATAATAATTTTGCTTTGGGTCATTTTCGTATGATTAGAAATGTACAACGATCAGATATACGACCCACCACCTCTCCATCACTTCTTATAGTTGACTAATATCAGTGTTTTCATTTTCTTAGCAAGGTTTTACATAAAACAAATAGTCAACTCAATTTTTATATCTCTATTCTATACCTTTCTAGAACATATCAATTTTGCTATTTGAACAAAATTGTGAATATTTTTTTCTCCATGAATTATATCATGTTTGATAGTCTTTTTCCTATTTTTTTAAGTTAATTTTTTGTAGATTCAATAATTTTAAATACTATATGAAAATATTATAAAAAAGTTCTATAAAAATGGCAAAATTTAATATTTTTATAATAACCATAGATTAATTTGACAAAAATTTTAAAAAATTATTATATATTTAACATGTTGGTACGAATTATAACATAATGATTTTTATATTTTATACATATTTAACAACAAATAAATATAACATGAAAACAAAAATTATCAAATCTATTTTGTAGCTAAATTTTGTGCTGAGAATGCAATGCTATTGCTAGCTGTGAATTGGCAAGGCATTGAGACAAAAAGGAAAAGTTATAGAACATTACTAGAAACTTTGAACAAAGGGAAAGAAAAAAAAAAAGGAAAAATATGCGTTGAAAACAAGGGATATAGAGATTGAGAGAGATCAAAAGAGACATTGCATCTTATATTAAACTAATTAACAAATGGGGTATAGCTTTGCTTGCAATAATCACAAGGCATTCTTTTGTCTTCTCTTTGCTTAATAAATTTTTAAATTTGAAGTTTGTTGCATATTTCATTTGATACCATCATCCTCTCTGCTGCTTGGAAGCTCTTTTCATGGGGGGGTTAGCTTATTCATGTCTCTCCTTTTCCTCAGGTACTCTCTCTTACAAATATTAATTACAAATTTTAAAGCTATAACACATTAAGATTGTGTGTTATTTGTCAGAAGAGATGTTGCTATTTGTCTTACCCTACAATATGAAAGAATTAATTATATTTTTGGTATCTAAATTTTAGAAAAATGTATAACTTAGTATCTAAAAAAATAATGAATCATTTTAATTTAAAATTTTATATTTTTAACTTAATTCATCTAGATGATATTTAATCAATAAAATTTTGTTATATGTATGTTATTTGTTAAATAAAAATATTAAATATTTTGTAAAAATTTTAATGTGGACATAATGAGATAAACAATGATTAACTGATTTCAAATATTTTTTACGATTTAGATAAAACATATATATTTTTAAATTATACTGAAAAAAAAATGATGATATTATGTGTAATAAATATATAACTTGATAATATTTATCAAATGTCACGTACATAAGCTAATGTAGTTAATGAGAATAGAGTTTATGTTAATAATACTTAATATGATACATAATTTAAAAATTTAGAGTGTAAATTATAAATTATTTGAAAGTTCGGACTACAAGTTGTAGATTTTATTTTTTTTAGATATCAATTTATATATTTTCTTAAAATCTAGATACCATAATTATAATTTAACTCAATATGGAAATTCAACCTAATCTTAATCAATATTTTTTTTATAAAAAAAATTGTAGTTTAGGTATAGAAAAAAATTGTATTATGACTGGTTTGATTTAGTTTTTATTAAATGAATGAAAAGTCAAAGAACTTTACAAATTTTGATAGTCCCACGTTTTCACATTTTGTAGTGATATTAATAAACAATCTGATGTATGCTTCTAATTGAAGTAGTAGGGGATTGTTATGTGATTGCAAAGTATTTAATTTCAATACTAAAAGGGAAAACAAATCTAATTTTGAAAGCTCATATAACATAAAAATAAATAAATTATTTTTCCATTTAGATTCATTTCTCATGTGAGATTTATATAAGAAGGTATGAAATTTATATGATATTTGATAATAAAAAATTATAAATATATAAATCCATTAAATTAAATCATATTTTTAATATCAATTTCTTTTTAACATAAAAAATAGTTAAAAATCATAAACGTCATCCTTTCGTAAAATACTTAATCAAACCGTCTCCTTTATTGAAGACAATTCCAGCATTAGAGACCAAACCATTGAGCATTCCATTATTTTATACTCATTTTTCCAAAATTTATGTGGCTATTTTTTTTTTTAAAATAATTCTTTGGGGATAAAACTGTTGGCACTTGACATAAGGTGTTACTCTTTGATTTTGACACTTACTGGTTGATTTGGAATACCAATAACAAAGTTATTTGCATCTCACTGTTTAATTATGTGCATTAATGCATATACACCAAGATTAAGGCTCCAAAATTAAAAAAAAAAAAATTAACATACCAAAACGTTTGCCAAGTTGAATAATTTCTTTATTTACGTATAAAAATGGGGGACAGTTATGAAAATGATTTTTGAGAAAGGCTTAAAACATGAAAAATTAACTGAGGCTTTCGTTTGGATTTAGATCGAAAGCCATCCAAATAAAACATAAAACAAATTATTTAATACTAATTATTAATAATTATTAATTAATAACATATAAAAATGCCACAGTTACGAACAAAAAGAAAAGAAAAAAAAAAGGTCGTAAGAAGCTTAATCAGTAGTTAATTATTAAGCAGAAAATAAGTTTATCAGTAGCAGAATTTCTGAACTGAAAATCAGTTAGCATTATTGTTCTTATAATTTCCAAATGGATTTATATATCATTTAAACCATAATAATGTTTCGTTATAAAGATTAAAATCTAGAGAAATTGGTAATTTAATTCATTAAAACTGAAAAATGTATAATTAATTATCCTAACGTCTTTCCAAAGATTCACAGTAACCCAAACCCGAAAGCCCAGCTTAATCTCTCTGTCCCTCTCTCTCCTCCCAAATCTCACCTGACCTACTCTTTTCTTTTCTCTATCTCTGAAAACCCAGGAAAGCTGTGTGGGTTTTACTGCTGGTGAAGTAAATTGCAGAATCCTTCAGAAACCCTTTATGAGTTCTCCTCTATTCTGCTCAAAATCACCTAAAATCTTGTTTCTTTCCAGGTTTTCAGCCATGAAAATGAAGACACATTACTGCTAATACAAAAGTTTCTTTCAAGGCAATGTAGAAGAGAAAGTAGATTCCTTTGCAGTCTCAGATGATGGTGGCTGCATTTTCTCATCCACCAACTCCTTCACGGCCCCCTGTTGAAGAACCACAACAAGAAACAAATACCCATCAAGAAGAAAGTACAACAATAACAACAAAAAGGCCTCCTCTCAAGGACAATGGCTCCATTATTACAAGAAAACCCAGAGGTAGACAAGTGTCTTCCAGGTATTTGTCTCCTTCTCCTTCTTCCACTTCTTCTTCTTCTTCCACTTCTTCTTCAGCAGCAACAACAACAGCAGCCAAAACGACGACAAGATTTCCTTCACCTCGTATTTCTCGTTCCATTACTACTACGGCAACGGGGAACAAAACGACTGCGAGATTTCCTTCTCCGCTTATTTCTCGTTCAACAAATGCTAGTTCTACTTCAACACCGACTTCGACGATGATGTCTTCGCTTCCTAAGCGGTCTCAATCTGTCGACAGGAGGCGGCCCGGGGGTCAAGTGTCACAAGGAAACAATGTTAATGTCACGGAATTGTCAGCTGCTACCAAGATGTTGATTACTTCAACGAGAAGTTTGTCCGTTTCGTTTCAAGGTGAGGCATTTTCTCTACCGATTAGTAAGACAAAGGCTCAAGTGGGTTCTACTTTGACTAGGAAAGCAACTCCTGAAAGGCGTAGAGCTACTCCTGCAAGAGATCATGAGGAGAATTTGAAGCCGGTGGATCAGTATCGCTGGCCTGGGCTAACCCGGCAAGGGAATTCTGGTTCGAATCCGTTATCTAGGAGTTTGGATTGTAGCGTTGAAAGGAAGATGTTTGGATCTGGTGCAATGCTGGCTAAGTCATTGCAACAATCAATGATGCTTGATGAGAGTAATAGCAGGGTTTCGTTGGATGGTAGTAATACGTTGAGTTTGGATTTGGGAAGTGCTGCTGAGTTGTTAAAAGAAGCTAATAAACAAAACCCAGATGTCAATTTTGTAAATGAGGCTTCTTGTGTCTCTTGTGATCTCACTGCATCCGATACAGATAGTTTGTCTTCCGGGAGCACCAATTCTGGAATGCAAGAATGTGGAGGAAGTGGCATTTCGAAAGGGAGGAGTGGCCCCCGTAATATTTTTGTGTCTGCAAGGTTTTGGCAGGAAACTAACAGCCGGTTAAGGCGGTTACAGGACCCGGGTTCACCTTTGTCTGCAAGCCCTGGGTCTAGAATTGGTGCTCCAGCTAAGTTCAGTCAATCAAAAAGGTTTTCTAGTGATGGTGCAGTGTCTTCTCCGCGGACAATGGCTTCTCCTATTAGGGGAGGTACAAGACCTGCTTCTCCTAGTAAGCTTTGGACATCTTCAGCTTCATCTCCATTGAGGGGGTTAAGCCCTGCTCGGGTGAGAAACGCAGTTGGTGGTCAGATGATTGGTAATTCTGTTAATACCCCTTCAATTCTTAGCTTTTCTGTTGATATTCGGAGAGGAAAGAAGGGGGAGGATCGGATTGTTGATGCTCACATGTTGAGGCTTCTTTATAACCGTTACTTGCAATGGAGATTTGCGAATGCAAGGGCAGACGCTACTTTCATGGTGCAGAAAACGAGTGCAGAGGTATGGTTATCCTCACTGTCCATCTCATTGTTCTTAATATGTTCAATGATCATGTCTAAAAAAACTGAATGCCTATTCTGATGATTTGAGTTGTTAAATGAGGTCAATATGGAGGGAGTGTTCAACAGTAATTATTGTAAAACACTGTACTTGGCTGATGAAATTGATATGTGATGTCAAAACAGATGAATTGTGACTAATCTTGTATATCTTTCTTGTCACAACTATGAATTTATGAAGAGCTTTTAATCTCCCTCTCTCTCTCTCTCTCTCTCTCTATGTTGTAAATTTGCATAATGGAAGGTTTAGAGGACTTATTGGAATAAGTCAGAGATTAGATATAAGCTTGCTGAGGAGATATCTAAATGATAGATTGGGTTCCATTAGTGTCTGTTGTCAACTCTTAAGTGATTTTCTTATTCTGTTATAGATGAGAGAAGTGAATGATGCTGACTGTATATCAGTTAAAATGGCCTATTCAAAGATTAAAATAACTGGTAGAATTAGAAAGATTGCTCTTGTTCTTATATTCTTTAGGATGTAAACACTTATCCAGTAATGAGAATAAATTTTGGGGAAAGTGGTCTGCTGGGTTTTGCTATATGATAAACAGGAACGTTTAAGTTTTCTTTTATCAACCATTTGGTGTAATTGTCAGTTTGATATAAAAAAAGAACTAGGTTAAAAGAACAATAATTATGAGTTTAGGTTTAACATGGTGCTCTCTAATAAGTCTGGTATGCTGATATCCAATATTCCTTCTTTTGTATCAGAAAATTCTGTGGAATGCATGGGTAACAACATCAGAACTGAGGCATTCTGTCACCCTTAAGAGAATCAAGTTGTTATTGCTGAGGCAAAAATTGAAATTGACTTCCATCCTGAAGGGACAAGTAAGATTCAAAATTCACATTTCTAAAGTACCGAATCAAATCATTGTAGACATTTTAATAGACACAACTGCTTTAGCTATCTGATTATGGTTTTACCTTCTTCGTGTTTATCATATCATACATATAATTCATGTCTGTATCCATGCTTTCATAGTCTAGGACAAAGCACGTGCTGGATTGGTTTCAATTGACTTCCCTATAATGAAAGTAAAAAAAAATGACTATAGGAATTACTATTGATGGGAATGAAATTATCAAAATTGGGACTTGGTGTTATAATGAGGAATTTTTTAGTTTTCAGCAATGGTCTAAGGGGGTTGCCTGGCCTTGTATACATTGCCTTGGCTTTTACTAATCCCCTTAGTTACCTGCTTTAGAAGCAGTCACCATTCACTTAAATCATGAAATGGGTAGGTACCCAATTTTGGTCCAAATTAAGACACCTAAAACATGGAAAAAAGGAAAATTAGATTTATTATTCTTGTCTACTGTATAGAATGGTACAGTGATTGATTTATGTTTGAATTTCATTTGCCTTCTGGAGTTAGAGGAAAACAGAAAATAAAACAAGCAAATAAGAAATCAAGGAAAGTCAAGAAGAGAAAATTTTGTACTATTATATTTCAATCCCAAGAGGAAAAAGGCTGTTGATGACCTGAAATTTGACTCTTCCTCAGTTCCTCATGTTGCCCTTTCTCCACTTCTTACTGCATGCTTGTTAGAACAGATCTAATCCTTTCCATTCTCAATTAAGATACTGGCTTTTATAGCATGGATTCTCTTCTTCATGACTAAAATTTGTTATAATTGGTGGGTGTAGATAGCTCACTTAGAAGCATGGGTGCTCCTCGAAAGAGACCACTCTAGTTCTTTGCTAGGAGCAACTGAAGCTTTAAAGGCCAGTACACTTCGTCTTCCAATTGTTGGAAAAGCAATAGTAAGTTTCTTCCTTTTTCTCTTTTTTTTTCCTGCTTTTCAATATACAATCTGTTAATGATTCAGTTCATGGCTATTAGTGTGGTTTAAAATGTTGCTCTTGTTTCTCTTCCCTTTTTCTGTTTCCTCTCATAATAGGCAGATACCCAAAATCTAAAGGATGCTGTCAGTTCAGCTGTTGATGTGATGCAGGCAATGGCATCCTCAATATGCACGCTATCATCAAAGGTAAAATTCATTAATTCAATCTTGTAGACTTTAGTCTTACAGAAAGAAAAATCATTAAGTTATCTCCTGTGGTAATTATTTGTATTTCCACTACTTTTGTGAAGTTTATAAATAAATGCCACAAACACAAAAAAGTTCTTAAACTGTTGTTCTGGCTGTCGCCTATCAATATTTTATTAAGCCAGTTGTAACTTGTAAAGGCTTGATCACAGCTCTATAACTAGCTCTTCATTGACATTACATTAAAAAAAAAAAAAAACTGATTATGGCTGTGGAAAAAGGAAAGTGCATCTAAAAGATTAAGAACTTATAGTTTAGTGGGATATATCTGACCATAAGCCGCTGTGTGACACAGGAACTGCATTACCACACTGCTTATGTGTTAGCCTTTTTGAATTATTTGTTGACTTTGGTTTAATGCCTAGGCTTGTAATGTAAATTGTAGATAGGTGTTCTGAAATTAGTGATTAAAGTACTCAACCACAATTAGAGTCTTGAGGCTAGACAAGCAATGCAAAAATATATTACCATCTGTTGGTGGGCCTTAAAAACAGAGATGCAATACTCCAAGTCGATGGCCTTTCTCTTATGGGAAAGAGAGCTGTTAACTGAAAGGTAATTGTAAAAAGAAGAGAAAGTTAATAGGAAAATCCCTTTGCCTGGCTCTTACTATCTAAAAATTAAATCGGACAGGAGCTATTATTGTTGATCCAGAGATATGTAGTAATTTTCCATTAAGAAACAGGTATTGTACAGACTTTTCCAGCATTCTTGTCCCTCATCCCTGAAATAAGGCCACCAATTATAGAATGAATTTCGCATGTGGGGCATCTAGTTTTGCAGCTGATTTTCTAAGTTTGTAATATTAGCGTAACCACCCTGATGGAACACATACTAACTTAATGCTATTGAAATGTACTCTGACAAGAAAGGGCAAAAAAGTTCTAATCCTTCATGCCTTAAAAAAGGGATGAAAAAACTTAAGAGGGGAGAAAGAAGGAAATCTAGTAGTTAGGTGGAGCCTGTTTATTTATGATTCACCTGCACTTGCATTTTAAAAGGGGCAAATCTACCTAATTATCTAAATATCATCTGTCCTTTGCAGGTAGAAGAAATTAATTCTTTAGTAGCCGAACTTGTGAGTGTGACTGCAAAGGAAAGGGTTTTGCTTGAACAATGTAAACATTTTTTGTCCACGTTAGCAGCCATTCAGGTAAATATGGCGTTTTGTTTTAATTTCCAAGCTATTTTCTGTTTCATCTGCTCATTATAAATCTTTTCATTAGGTTAAAGACTGTAGCATGAGGACACATATAATACAACTAAATCGTGTATCCACTACCAGCAGCCTGACAACACATGTTTAGTACTGATGTTATGTGACTACTCACCCTAAATGCTAACATTACTCCCAAGCTCACGTTTTTCCAATGGATGGAGGCGGCACTGGACAAAATACGAGCAGATTGAAGATAGCTAGGTTTTGCTTCTCGTTTTAGCAGTTTGGAACCAGTTGTTGTCTTCTATGATCACGAATGTAATTTTTGCATCTGAAGATTAGAGTAAGTGGCTTTTCTTCTTAACTGATATCTGTATACGAGAACTCTTTTAGGTAGAAGAAAGCAATTTATATGTAAATATGTAAGTTCATCTGATAACAGATTATCATGAATTTCTTGGTCAACTTTGATTAATTATCCAAGTATGATCTTGTTGATGCTTGCTAAATCAAAGACTATTCAATTTCCATTTTCTCGAAATGCATTGAACTGCATTCGCATGATGTATTATGTGTAGGCAAGAATGCGTGCAAGAACAGGAATCCTGCTTTCCAGCCCGAATTGAACAAACCTTGTTGACCAAAAACAGCTGTCTCCCAAAATTTCTTGTTAGTTTTTCTTTTTTTTTATAACTTGGGTGAGATGAGAACTGACGGTTTCTGTAGCTGACATGGATGGAAACGATTAGCGTCGAAACTTAACATGATTCATGAACACGAGGAAGAGTCACGAGGGAGTTGGTGAAGGGGCCGAAAATTTCTCTTCATTATTTGTTACATTCAATGTTCCCAGCATACTCTGGACTGTAGAGGACAAATGATAAATTGTAGCAACTTTCGTGCTTCAATGAAATTTAGGTAGAAGTTTTAGGATTTGAGTTGCAGTACTCCATTGAAAAGTCAAACTGTTATTGGATTTAGTGCTGATATGATTAAAACTGAAGCGAAAAAAGGAAGCAACAAGACAGAAAATCCTAAAGTGTTTGACCGAACAGCCAAAGTAGTCAACGACAGGTCACATTTCACTTCCGCCGCATGGGGCGCTCAAAACCCCAGCGCCCACCACGCCACCACTAACATGGGCTGGTATCGCAACCCTCGCCTACTCTTTTCTTTTCGAGTTTTGACCTCCACCTCCCTTTTAAACATTTCTTTCTTCACTTTTTCATCACATGCTACAATCTAAGGCCGGCTTTCATCTTTCTTTTCTTCCTTTTAATTTAATTTACTTTATTTTTTTTTTTCTGAAGCCAAAAATTTAAAAATATTGATTCTTTGTTCAAGGAAGCAAGAAAAGTAGAAAAGCATTGTACTAATTACTTTGTCTATGTTCTACCTAGCTTCCTTTTTTTTGCTTTGAAGACTAGAACTCTTTTTGAGTAGCTAAATCTATATCCTATGAGGCTAAGAAATTGCAAATATGAAATGTATTTGTGTCTCCAGTCCAGTGCAATATAGTCCAGTCCCCAGGCGGCCATTGGAGTTTAATAAAAAGGAAAATGACAGAGAAAAATGGGAAGGTTCCACATCCCAGGGACCTCTCTTTGGTTTGTGGACCGTTGTGATGCTGGGAAACAGCAACAAATCGATTTGCAAAATGCATTGCAATGGACCACAACTCACAATTGAGAAGAAAAGAAAAGGAAAATGACTATTGGTTTCATAAAGAGACCAAAAGCAAGAAGAAAAATCTATGGCTGACAGTGCCTCCTACAACCAAATATAAGCCCTCATCTGCCATTTCTTTCTATCCACACTTCCCATTTGATATTCATACGCTCGGATAGTTTGATTGATACAATCAAAAATGATTTCACTTTCTCTCTCTGGGATTCAATAAGACCAAAATGAAAAGAAAATGGAAAATAGAGGCTACTGCTACAATAATTCATGAATAAACTTTTTCTTATAAGGAAAATTGGAAATTCTACCAAAACTCATCGAACTTCATCATGCCTAGAAGAAAAGATCTTATCCCAGAGTAACTTATGCCTCAAAATTACAAACAAAAATATGCAGTAAATTTTTCTCAGATGAACAGCCTCAAAAGCTTCTTTTGATCGCCGCCCTTTGAACTAATGCCATCAGCAGAAGAACGGCTTCCCACTGTTGTTGTTTCCGACTCCTCCGACAGCGTAGCTTCTCTCCTCTTCTTCACCGCTCTATTATCACCGATCATCAAGCAGAGATCAAGATCAGTCACTTTATATTTAACCACGTCGCCAAAACCCTTCCTTTTCAAAAAATCTTCATCTCTTGTCCGAAAACACTGCCCACCATCACCAACCGTTTCTGAAACATCCTCAAAATCTGACCCTGAAACACTGCAGCTAAATTCGGGGAGAGGCTGCAACGTGCCGCCTCGAAGCACAGTTTGCACCGCCGATTGGCAGACGTTCCAATTTCCTGACCACAGCAACCCCACGGCTCCATTGACGGGGTTCACGGCCCGCCCCACTGCTTCAAACAAAAGTGACTGAAACAAAGCTGCAAACCCACACATATACCAATCAGAAACAATATGAAAAAGAATAATGAAGAGAATATAGAGAAAAAGCCAATGACTTTTCATTATTTCAAGGATAAATACTAGCAGTAGAAATAGAATTTACCCGGTCTCTGAGGCTGGGGCACGGAGGAAAGGAAGGACATAAGGCCAGCGCGGCCAAAGAACTTGGCGACGAAAACGGTGGCGTGTGCTTGAGCTTGAGGGTTATCTATACATTGCAAGCTTTGTCTAAGCATGCAGTTTTCACTGCACCCTTTTCGGAGAACTCTGCAGCCATTACAACTCATCCTGAGACACCTTTGAGCATAAGATCATAAGAAAGAATAAGAAGAAGAAATGGGCGTTCTTGTGAAGAAAGGATCGGTGGGAAGGGAATAAATGAAGCCAACCAAAAAGTATCGGGTGAACATAGACATATATAGAGATAGATATAATGAATGTGAGTTAGGTAATCACGGTTTAATTTTTTATTATTTGGATTTAACTGTGGTTAACCGGATTTGATAAAATGATTTATGATGGGGTTTGAGGTTCCAAAGAAACGGGTGAAAAGCGGCTCCGGGTCTCCGCGGATGAAGAGAATGGGGAGGTACAGCAGGCAGGCATAGCCGTTTTTCGTGGATTTCAAAGGCCGTAGATTCTTTCCTTGTCTTTTACAAGTCTTGGGTTATCCGCTTGTGAAGTTGATGACCATTTTCAATTGTGGGAGATTGTTTGCCATAACTTTCCATTGGATTTCGGCTTAAAGATAATGCCATAGTTCATCTAAGTCTAATGCTTGATTTGGCAGTTTATTTGAATTTAAGATCAGTAATATCCAGAATATTTATAATTATTCTTTTGTTCTCAAATTGATCAATAATACAGCTAAAATTAAACAATCCCAAAAACTTCATTTCACTGTAGTATAAAATTTTTAAGAAGCAAATGAAATAAATAAATGCAAGTTATATACATTTGATTTAATAATTAATACATAATTTTTATTTGAAAAGATAGCTTTCAATTTTTTTATTCAAAAAAAAGAATAAAATCTTAATTCGAAATTAAAATTTTTATGTTCTCGTAAAACTTCCTTTGTTATTAGATCAAGAGTTTGAAAAATAACTTTGAATTTTTTTTAATTATTCAATATCATGAAAAAAAAAAACACAAATGCGTGTAGGGTTGAGATAATAAAAAGTTTACAATTTGGATTGGTTAATTATAACAAAGATTAAAGAAGATAGAATCAAATGGCTGCACTTACAAAGTGTGGAAACTAGGAAGAAAATTAGGTGATGTGTGAGAGGAGGAGAGAGGACGAGGAATGACGATGTAGATGAAGCGGAGACATTGAAGTTTTAGTCACGACTCTACCATCTTTATCCCATACTTTGGTCGACAATATTGCATCCGAATAATAATAAAAAAAAAAAGTCTAGTGAATGTTACAAGCAAAAAATCAAATGGGATTCCAATTCATGACCATTGGTTTAACTTTTCTTTGGCTTCATCCATGCATGGCAAATGAGTTAAAAAACAAAGAAGCTTGAAAAGTAAACAATGGGGTCAGGCAGTAAGTTGGGTGGTTGACCGTAAATGAAACTTTTACTGCTTGCCTTTTTCAGTTTAATATATAAAAGGTACATATAATTTGAGGAAGAAAATTTTGATATGCTAACTTCAAGCCTTTGTAATAAACGCTCCGGAGAAAAATTTTGCTGGTTGCTTTTGTGTCTTTATGCCGGTGGAAGTTTATCTCAGATAGCTCAACTTAGGGCAGCTTATCCAATTTTAAGGTTTAAGGTTTCTTTATGTTTCTATCCTTGATTTTGTTGATAATAGCTGGAACATCATGTCTCCTTTGCAATTGTATAATATGCGGAAAACAGATTACTGAAGAAGACATAAAACACTAATGACGATCATCTCTAAGCTTTGTTTTTATATATATATATATATATATATATATATATTATTACTGAAATTAAGAGTTTAATCCTTTACTAACAGATCATATGACTATCGGAACTAAGGTTTCTTTGTCGGTTAGTTTCGAAGGTAGTTTTATTTGTTTTTGCTGGGTTCTGATAGGGTTGTGTCCTTATCCAATAGGTAGCATGCCCTTGATTATCAACATTATTGAAAATGTAGCAGAGATTGTACTCAAGCTTGGTTTTTTCAGTTAAAATATCTGCTCATTTGTTTTTAACAAACAAGGTGTACAAGGCATCTTGCAAATGCTTCCTGAGAACAGAGTTCTCAAGAAACATTGGAAGCTGTTAGATCATATCTTAGAAAATGGATTCTAACTGCAACACTTAGATTCATGTTTTCTGCTGCATTGGCCAGGAGTTTTGCACAATCTCAAAGGATGATAGAACTTTCAACAAAGCTACTTGATTGAAAGAATTAAGAAGTGAATCACTTTTCTTTCCTCCATTTTTGTTACAGAAACAAAAGTTTTGAAGATTTGAACCCCAAAAACAATCATTTCATATTAACTGGATAATGTAGCGAAATCAAGGGCAGTGGTAACCCAACCACTTGATTTACCACACTCATATTTCTGTTAACATTGTTTGACTCTAAAATTGACTGTTGGGTTTGCAGGCAAGGCATATAGCAGAGTTTCTGGCCCCTGATGTGTGAATAATTTATTACTGTACTGATTAACAAGATGGAAAGGATACAGGAAGCTTTGAGAAAACTACAAAGTAGATGAAAACTGTGGAATCTGCACCGTGTTCCTTACTGCTTCATTTAGCTCTTTGTGAGCTGTGACAAGCCTTCAAAATGAAGAGACAAAGATAAAATCAAATAAAAGACAGCATTGTAGCAATTTGCATGAGTGGCTTCCTGCTCTTTATATGTCTTCTATAAGCAGCCCTCAAGTTTATTATAATTCCAGTAATCATTTTTTCCACAGTGCTGTAAAGTTTCAGCAAAATAAACAGACTTTACCTCTATTCTCAGACTATATATGCTTCATTTTACTAAATTAACATAAAACTAGTTTTTGAATTTACTAAATGTCATGAAGAGAACTAAAGCCCAAAAAACCCACCAAAGAGCTAGCTACTATATTTTCCCTCATTTCTACTAAGAAACTGAATGCCTTCTATTTCTGGATGGTGTTGACTTAGCTTCTTCGGGATTGGCAGGACCAAGACTCTCTGATGAATCTGAACCACAATTCTCACCCTGGGCTCCTTTGCTTGACCAGATCTTTGTAAATATCCTCTTGGACTTCAGCAAACCTTTCATTTTACTAATGGCAGCCTTGTCAATGCTATTTCTACTATCTCCACCATTTCTCTCACTCCCTTCTACCCCATTGCCCAACCTTAAGGAAGCTAGTTCCCCTTTCAGGGCCTTGAGCTCCTCAGCTGTGGCCAATGCATCCCAATCTTCCTCTGGGTTGGTTGCTGCTGACCTTGAGCTCCCATGAGATCCACTATTTAGATCCTTAAGGCCTTTAGGTAAGTCAGGACTGCTACTGCCCGATAAAGCAGCAGACCTGACCTGCTCGAAAAACAGAACCTGCACAATTACACGCATTGGAAGCCTCTCATTTTGCACAGCATGCATACATGCATCAACTGATAGTTTCTTGCAGTCCATTAACTTGCATAATCTTTTTTTCTCACTCTTGCTGATCCCTTGGTGCTCCTGCATTCAAGCAGAGTAGAGTTAAAGTTACATATAAGCAAACTCAAAAGTCAACAGAATTGGTTCGCCTTCGTAATAATAACAGTTGCAGACAGAGACTAAGTCAAAAGGTTTATTTAATTGGTAATTATGGTCTAGGAGAGGGAATTGAATTTTAGCAAAGAAAACTTCCAAAGCCAAAATTTCTGGGCATTTAGATGCAACAAAGGCTTTACATAAACCTCGTTTTATGTTCAAGTATAATGTAATACCAATTTCATGTGCATTGAAAAAGATGGACTTTGGCAAGGTTCTCACCTTAAGATACATGTCAATGGCTCGGTAAAGCCCATCATGAGCAGGCCGAGAGATGCAAGACACCATTTCAGCAAGGTCTACAAACTTTGACAAGGGTAGGTTGGGATCCTTCGCAATTTCAGCAAGGTATGCATCTATCAATTTTGCCACCATCAGCTTGGAAGTATCTGTTAAAATTCTAGGTCTTCGTATTTCCTGAACCTCATTTTCTTCTGACTCAAATTCAGCATTCTGATCTTGCATCAGAAACTCTTTCACTATTTTCTGTACCATATCAACATCATACATTACATCTTCCCCTTCAACTGCTCGTATCAAGAGATCATTTAGTGAAGCCTCCTCCAGTTGGTGTCCTATTCGCCTCACCAGCTGTTCCCTAGCCATTTCTCCTGAGTCAGCAATGATAGCTGCTTTCAACAACTTAAGCAAGAAACTGCAAGATACGCTTCCTTTCTCTGCAGGTAACAACCAGACAATTGTATCAACTGTTGATCGGTACTTTAAAACATCCCTAGAATGGATCACACCCTTACTGAAACCTGGCAACCTTCTGTAAGAATAAGCTTTCAAAGCTTCTCCAATCACTTCATGAGACAGTATTCCTTTGGTTTTAATATTCATTATAACACACTTATATAGATCAATTTCGAGTTCACACAAATCTTCAACCCACCAGTCCTTTGGCACAGGTCGACTTCTGACACCATTACAGTTTGGATCATTCCCATTTTCATCTGGGAGCTTCCTCTGGTTATAAGTATATGACCAATCAACCTTGGAAACATCAATGCAAGCCTTGGTAGCTATAGAATCAATGCAAAAACTGACCACCTTCAATTCCTCAGATAAGGATAACATAGATTTTGTGGTCTGAAGAACAATGATTGAATCCTTCCAGCTGCGGAAGATGCTGGCATTGAGGAAGACATCAATCTTGTAAATTAGGTTCCCTTTTTCAATGGTCTCATGCATTCCTAAGTACTCAGCTGCACATCGAGCAGCGACAACATTGTAAGCATTAAGGGTGACAATCATGCTGTAACAAAATTTGGCACATATCTCAAAGGCAGCTGGACCTCCCGGAATGTCAGAAATCTGAACTTCATCACTATTTTCTTCATTACCACTTGCAACCAACTTTTGTAAGCAGGCACTTTTTGACAGAAGAGGAAACTGCATATATGTTCATCCATTAGCTTCACAAACTGAAATGAATTTTTTTTTATGATTACAAATGGGCAGAATTGAGCCAAGCTTTCTCAACTTAACTGATCTTGTCATTCTAATTTGAAACTAGAGCACAAATTAGCACAGCTAAAGCCAATAACTAAATTTTGGTAGTTTTACATTTCAGCAATTATATGAAATTGTAGACAAAGGATTGCACAAAGGCATAAGTGTAGATGGCATGTAAGGCATAATGCAACGCATTCTAGCAAGAACACTACACTCAAAGACAATGCTTGACCATAGATGAAATTTACTTGAACTGGAAGAAAATGCATACCTTGTGCAGATAAAACTTAACATCCCCTACAGTGACAGTGATGTCAGTTGCCAGCTCACTTGCCACATACCTGAACATGGGTATATAAGCTTAAAACCATCAGAACTTTTCAAAATTCATACAGGTTGGACAAAGACATTTAAAAAGAAAATTCCCATTACAGCTTGTGGTAAGAGATGAAGTTTTCAATTTGTACATCTTTTGCCTTTCTATTTAGACTATTAACATTTGAAAAGGAAAACTCTTTGAATTCCTCTAAACAATATGCAGCATCATTATGTTACTGAAAAGATAATAAACTTAGTTTTTATCATATAAAATTGCCAAAAGTCATTTAGCTGTGTACTGTATCTAAGCAAGTGACTTATACCAGAAATCA